CTTTCTGCAGGAAGAGAGGTTCACACGGATGGTGGAGGACAAGGAGGTCGAGGCGATTCTCGTTGACGCCGTGTGCGCTCTGTCGGCACGGTTCTCGGATCATCCTCAGATCGCCCGGGATGGGAAGCTGCCCAGGTCGGATTACGGCGTCCAGTATGCCCAGCGCGCCAAGGCGGCGACTGTCGACACGTTTCCGGCGCCGTCTGTGGGTGCCGTCCAGGCGCTGCTGATGATGGCCTATGAAGGCTTCGGCGCGAACCAGGACAGTGCCCTCTGGATGTATCTCGGCCTGGCCATTCGCATGGCTGTCGACTTGGGCTTGCAAAAGGTGGTGGGCGTCAAGTACCAAGGCGAGAAGGATCCATGGTACCTCCGGCATTGGAGCCGACAAAGCATCGAGTCCAGCGATGCTGCGGATGAAGAGGCCTCGGTCAGCCGTGCTCAACAACTGGAAGTGGAGCAGGAGAGGATGGACACATTCTGGGCCGTCTTTATGCTCGACCGGGAGATTTCGTCTGGCACGGGACGACCAGTGACGTTTCGCGACGATGATTTCGAGTTCGACCTGCCAGCACCAACGATACACCCTGCGTCGGGCTGGCCCGCGCCGTACCCAACACTGACACGAATCATTCATCTTTACGGCCGCGTGTCTGACGTTTTGAATAACATCCATGACGCCAAAGATCTGACGCAGGACAAATGGGCCAAGCTAGCACACATGGAGAGCGAGCTCACCAAGCTCTACCAAAACCAGGACCCGAGACTCCATTTCAACGTCAGCAATTTCAAGGCATATCTCAAAGCCAACCAGGGCACGACCTTTATCCTGGTTCATTTCTGGTTTCACGCCCTCATCATCATCCTGCATCAGCCCACATTGCTCACGCCGTTTGGGTCGCTGAACCGGTCCCACCAGCTTTTGCCCAACAGTCGCGAGCTGTCCATGTCGAGCGCCAAGACGATTGCTGACATTCTCTCCTTTGCCGAACTCATTGGGCCCACGAGCTTCATCGGCAACCCCTTTACATCGCAGCCCATGTACATTGCGGCGTGCGCCTTCCTCATGGAATCCATGGCTTACACATCCCAACCCGCGTCCAGGGCCACCTCGCCCCCTGAGGGCAACAAGCCCAAGGGCAAACCGAACGACAGCGCCAGGATATCGGCCAAGCACTCGCTGCTGGCCTCGGCAGCGAACCAGAACTACTTGCGGTGCCACAATTCGCTTCAGCAACTGTGTGCTTACTGGGGCGGTGTCAAGTACATCTTGACAGCCCTCGACCAAAAGTCCAAGGGCATCTGGGACTGCGAAACGTATACAAACGAGGAGTACGAAAGCACAAAGGGAACACGCCACGGATCACTGGACCCCTTTGCGGGCCTCGAAGGCTTGGGATCGCCGAGTGCGCCCCCCTTTGCCTGGTCCTTGACGGGGACCACCAACTCGCCCAACTCGAGCCTCACACTGATGTACCAGAACATGCAGGCGAATGCCGCCGCTCAGCCCCATGTATCGTCGGCACCGACGAGCCACCACGCCCTCGCGCAGAACAACCACACGACGTCTTCGGGCCACATGTACGACCCCATCCGTCAGAGCATGCCGGACGCGCCGTCATCACTCTACGCGCCGTCGTATCGACAGGCAGCATCGGCAGCGTCGCAACACCAGTCGCAGACTGCGCACCCTTCGTACGGAGCCTCGTCGCAACAGACGTCGGACTACGACGGGTCACTGCTCACGGGCACGACGCCGGGGTCGGGCCATCACCCATCGGCCAGTATGTATGATTCGGCCTACACGGAGAGGGACTACTCGTACTTTGGCCACGGCGTGAACCCGATCGGGGACGTGGTTACGTACGAGAATCCCGTCGACATTGGCTCGCTCGGCCTGCCGGGGGACATGATGCCGCAGTGGCTTGAGTACCTTCCTGGCGACGTCCTCGGGGGCTACTTTGACGGGGGGCATGACATGAACGGGGGTACTGACTTGGAGGGGGGCGGCCACCATGGTTAGGGTGTTTACTGTGTCTTGGTATTTCTTTTTTCCGTGTCAAAAACATTCTCCGTGTCAAAACAGGCATGGAACGTCTTTGTACATCATGGCTTGGATATACAGCCTTGTCTGGGCGCTGGTGTGGTTTTGCGCTTTGGGTACATGTGGATTGTATTACTTGATGGGTTGAGATTCCTGACAACGACTTACGTAGGAATAATGTGGTGACGATAAAATAGCCTGTCAGATGGTTGTGTAATGGACTTGAAATAGTTGTCATAACTTGAATCGGCGACAATCTGTCATCCTCACCTCTTGGCCGAGGGAGGCATGCACGAAACCTCGGTCACAGTAGGTACATCACGACATCGGTGGAAAATGACGTTGCCCGGCCAGCTTCGGATGCTGCTGCTGTGCAATGGACCAACGAAAGACGCTAAGCGGGTGCACGGGCTTGCCGGGTCATTGACAGTCCGCCGCGCGAGCTTTATCGGCGTTATCATGGATGACTAAGGGCGCAGATGGGAGGCGCTCAATGGCGGAAGGGGCGATCGGACGCGCCGGATAGCCCGAGTATTCCCGAGCCAATCTTTTCAGTGGAGCCCCTTGCAGGCTAAGTGGTCACTGCCAGGAAAAGGCCGCCCAGCCGCCGCCAATGCGCCAGCATCAGAAAAAAGGCCTCTCACATTTTTCTCCTGGCCGGGGTCACTTCCTGCTCCTTTCCACGAACATCCTTCCTCAAAGCCAATTCCATCCACCAAGTCTTCAAGGTCACGATCCCCCCTTCGTTGCGGCATTCGTGATTCCTTCCTCTCCACTCCGTCCTTCGATTCATCGTTCCGGTTCTCACGCACATCACAGCTACAATGGCTTCCGCACCAACATCCACCGGCTCGGCCAAGGTCGATGCCGTCGTCCAGAAGGCTGCCGCCGCCGTCCCTGGCACGCCCACCGGCTTTGACCTCTACGCTCGCTTTGCCCTGGCTGGTGCCATTGGCTGCTCCGTCACCCACGGTGCCCTGACGCCCGTCGATGTGTACGTTTCCCTCTGCTCCCTCGATGTTGGGCGTGTCGCGCACCAGCTGGCGTGATTGCACGCAAAAGCAAGCCATTGGCCTCGCGACGCGACGCCAGCAGCAGCATGCCTCCCTTCTCTGATCACCTCGACTGACATTTTGCCACAAACAGCGTCAAGACCCGTATCCAGCTCGACCCTGCCACCTACAACCGTGGCATGATCGGCAGCTTCAAGCAGGTCATCCAGAACGAGGGCCCCCTCGCTCTCCTCACCGGTTTCGGCCCTACCTTTGCCGGCTACTTCCTCCAGGGCTCCCTGAAGTTCGGTGGTTACGAGTTCTTCAAGCAGCAGAGCATCAACCTGCTCGGCTACGAGACCGCCTCCAACAACCGCACCGCCGTCTACCTCGCCTCCGCCGCCGCCGGCGAGTTCTTCGCTGACATCGCCCTGTGCCCCCTCGAGGCCACCCGTATCCGTCTCGTCTCTGAGCCCACCTACGCCAACGGCCTCATCGGTGGCTTCACCAAGATGGCCAAGCAGGAGGGCCTCGGCGCCTTCTACGCCGGTTTCGGTCCCATCCTGTTCAAGCAGTATGTCTTCCCCCCTCTTGCGTTCAGCATGAGCCCCGAACCCCAATCAGAAACTAATCCAACCCAGGATCCCCTACACCATGGCCAAGTTCGTTGTCTACGAGAAGGTCGCCGAGGCCATCTTCCGCGCCTACCCCAAGGAGACCCTCTCCTCCGGCCAGCAGACCCAGGTCAACCTCGCCTCCGGTCTCATTGCCGGTCTCGCCGCCGCCGTTGTCTCCCAGCCCGCCGACACCATGCTGTCCAAGATCAACAAGACCAAGGGCGCCCCCGGCCAGGGCACCGTCTCCCGCCTCATCCAGATTGCCGGCGAGCTCGGCGTCCGCGGCTCCTTCGCCGGTCTCCCCACCCGTCTCTTCATGGTCGGCACTCTCACTGCTGGTCAGTTCGCCCTGTACGGCGATATCAAGGCCGCACTAGGCGCGACGGGAGCTGTGGAAATTGCCAAATAAACGGGTATTGGCAGCGTCGGTGGTTGCGTGTAATAGATGTATCAATTTAATGATAGACCAAGTTTTTCTGTTGCAACCAAGCATGACACGTGAGCCCTGTGTAGTCCCCACAGAGCAAATATGATGCAGAGGTTGTAACTGTGATTTGATATAAATGTACAGGCATTCTGGACTAATTTCGGCGTAGCATACAAACGCCATCAGGGAGAGTCCGTTGGTTGGCAGGCTGGCGAGATGCCCGTGGTAAGAAGACATCATGGTCTTTACTGTCTCAGCCTCGGCAGCGGACACTTGGGATCGGCACTACAAGGCCCAAGTGATTGCCCAGGCTCGATACTTCAAGCTGACGGGCAAGCACCTGTACCATCATGCTGAGAAGAGACTGTGGCCAAAAAAGCCATGTTGTGTGGGAAGTGGCTGATGCTCTCTACCAGGCACATGATGAGGCTGGTCACTGGGGGCCGAACGCGACGAGAAGGCGCTTGGCAACTTCTGTACCTGGCCTGGCATGGCCCAGCACACAATTTCATATATCCTGGAATGCTGGCAGAGACAGAGTCGTGTTCAAGAGCATTCTGGATGAAGCACGTAATGGCAACGTCCCGTAGAAGGGCCCTCGTCATGTATGTCCAAAGTCTATACAATTAGGGGTTGTTCGGAGCTCTCAGCATATATCCATCGGGTCATGTTAACGGAGCAGGGCATGACGGGATGATCAAATGGGAACGACTTGGTGGATGGTATGTGAAACATTCTCTGGTCATTATTCCCGTGGCGGTGAGTGTGAGTGTTAACGATATCGGCTGACAACACTGCGAGCCGCACAAGTACTTTTCTCATGCATTGCATCAGGCATGCCAACGAGTCACAACTATTGAGTCACTCCCAGTAGACCGTCGAAGGAATGAACAGCGGAAATGGTATTATCATGTCTAGAATCAGCCAATGTTGCCCCGGCGGCCGCCCCTCTTGGCCCGGTTGACGTGGCCCTGCAGGACCTGCCTCGTCTGGACCAGACTCCTCTTCTGCTTGTACTTGGCCTTGTTGAGGGTCATGAGGAAGTTCTTCTGTCTGGCCTTCTCCTTGTTCGTCGTACTCTTGCCCTCGGCATCCTTCTTGGACCGTCTGATGGCCTGGGTGCTCTTGTGCTCGCCGCGCTCGGGCTTGCCCTCCTTGGCCAGGGCGACGCGCTCTTCCTTGGTCGTCTTGCGCAGGCGGGCAGGCGCCTCAATCTGCTCCGCCGTCAGACCGTCGTCGATGTGTCGTGCTAGCGCCTCCTCAAGCTTCTTGGACCTGTTGGACTTGGTGCCCATGGCCTTGTTGACGCTGGCCTCCATGCGTAGCTCCTGCAGCTTCTGGAGATCCGCCGGCGTCAGGATCGACGTTGTCGCGAGCTTGGATATCCTTTGCACCTCGCTCTCGACATCCTCGCCGGCCTTTTCGTCGTCGCCTTCCTTGTCGGCGTCTGCTTCCTCGTCATCGGCTGTGCTCTTTCTCCGCTTCTTAGGCGCAGGCTCGTCCTCCTCCTCATCCGAGCTGACGGCGATCCAGCCGCCGGAATCGTCGCTGTCGACCGACTCGACATCCCAGTCATCCGAGTTAAAGCCGTCGTCCTCGTCCTCCTTCTCATCCTCGCCGACCTCCTCAGGCAGACCCTTGGCCGCGCGCTTGGCCTTCCTCTGCTCCTCCTTCCACTGCTCTAGTAGTTCGAGGCCCTCGATGCCGCCGGCCTCCTGCTCGCCGAAGCGCTTCTTGCGGACCTCGCCCGTCTTGAGACCGATCGTCGCGTCCTTGCCGCGGTCCTTCTTGGCCAGCAGGTCGGCGCCGACCTCACGGAACAGCGACAGCAGGCCCTTGGCAGCCATCATGGTGCCCTTGTCCTTGCTCTTGCGGTACTGCACGAGGTCCTGCAGCAGTGTGTCCTCCATGGCGAGGGGCTGACGGGCGCAGATCTCCCGGATGGCGTTGAGACCAGCGGCGGCGACCTCACCAGCGGCGGCCTCGGAAACGAACTCGTTGGCAATCTTCTGCACGAGGGGCTCCAGACAGTCGGGCGGCACGAGGTTGTGGGTGGCCTGGGCGAGGCAGGCGAGGAAGGACGTGACGGACTCCTGCTTGGGCGTGAGGTACTTGATGAACCACGAGTAGAGTGAGACAATGGTCAGCTTGTGCAGGCCGACGAGGCGGGTGACGAGCTGCAGCACGAGGATCCTGTGCTCGAGGACCATCTTGGTCTTGGTGCTCTGGAGGTGCTTCTGGAAGACCTGCTCGGCAAAGCCCTGGGGGTCGTGGAGCAGGTGAAAGGCAGAAAAGTTGAGCGGGTGCGGTTTCTCCTTGCCGCGCTCCTGCTTGTGGATCTTGGTGACGGCCTTGCGGTAGGCGTTGGCCTTCTTCTTGGACTTTTTGTTGATGCCGATCTGGTGCTTCATCTTTTGCAGGTCGATGGCCTCCTCGTCGCTGCTGTCGTCCTCGAGCTCCTCGCGCTCCTTGTCGCCGCCGAGGAAGAAGCGCACGGCGCCGACGACAACCTTTTCATTGTCGGAGAGACAGGCCTCCTTCATAACATCTACCGTCTTGGCGTCGGTCCAGACCTGACGCTTCCACAGCTCGCGCGTCAGCTTGACGGCCCAGACGGCCTTGGGTGAGGCGCGGTCAGCAGTAATGAGGTTGTAGAGGACGGTCTGGATGGTGCGGTTGAGGGGGTGGTTCGTCGATTTTGAGTTTGCGTTGCGTAGGTCGCCGAGGATCTTTTGGAACAGTAGCGTGCGCAGGGACTTGCTCGGTGACGATACGAGGATGGGGAAGAGCGTGGTTAGTAGCTGCGTCGAATCGATGACCTCCTTTCTCCTGAGGAGTACGAGACTTCCGACAATCTTCTCGCGCAGTTCAGGGTGTAGGACCTCGTGGTGCTGCAGCAGGATGGCCTTGAGGTCGCCGGGAAAGGCCTCGGCATGTTGAGGGTAGCAGTCGGCGACGTGTGCGATGAGGTCGACGAGGTTGTGGAAGGACTCGGTGTACTCGGGGGTCGCGGTCGTGGGGGAGACGAGGAAGACCTCACGTTGGCTCTCGTACTGGCCCCATTGCTGGAGAAAGTTGTCCTCGTACGAGTTGGGGTCGCGGCGGATCTTGTACTGGAGGCTCGCGCTGTGACGGTGAGGTTAGCGGGAGGGGTGGTCGAGCCCTGGGGATCGGAAGGACCGTGAGGTTGTCGACTTACAAGTCGGCGTCGACCTTCTCGAGAGCTGCGACCTTGCGTTTGCCCATTGTGAGAGTGAGCCGAGTGCGTGTCGATGTGGTGTTGTGAGGTTGTTGGCGGTGGCGGGGCTGGGAGACCAGAGACCACCAGCGCTGAGCATGGGAAAGGCCATCCAGGACGAGCAAACAGAAATTTTGGGCGAAAGTTCCTTATCAGTCCTTATCGAGGATTCACAGTGGGGCCCAATAGTGGGAAGAATTGGGGTTCAAATACTGGGGGGTCCATACAGATGGGCCACGGGGGTTTACTCTTTTTGCGGAGCATCATGGGTTGAGCCTCGGTTTTCGATCGATTCATCACATCAGAGGGATGAGCTTGGTTCGTGCCAACACTTGGGAAAGTGCAAGATGCACAGTGTTGCCTCCAGCCTCCAGCATCCTCTGTCTTTCTTACCACATGAACCTGTATAGGTCGAGGGAGAGGCGGGCATCCTGTATCCATACGAAGAACCTGTCCCTTACCTTCTGGCGCCAGGTTGGCCGTCCTCTACGCCAGGTCCTCTGCACCAGACTGTCCGTTGTCAAGTTTCGGGTCTTGATCTTGCCCAACAGAGAGCCAGTCGTTCGTTCTTCAAGGGATGAATGTTGGCCATTTTGCGAGCTGTGGGCCTCTGAGCAAGTTGGAACTCGCCTGCCTTCATGGAGGAACGCGACCGAGACAACACTGGGGGAGACGACCACACTTCGGATTACAGGGACTCCGAGCCCGACAAGGCTGACATGACGATCACAGCGCTGTTGCTCAGAACACGATTCTGGCACGAGTTGACAGCATGTCGGCAGAGATTGTGCCACTCCAGAACGACGCCTCTCAACGCAACGTGTACAGTCTGGCCAAGGCCACTCACGACAGGATCAAGGCCCTTGAAGACGTGATGGGCCGAGTGAATAGCGGAACGCAGTCACTGGTCTCAAAGACTTCTACTATAGAGCGCAGACTACCTACGTCGTCGCCGCTAGCCAGAACCTCCTCCGTCGCTGAGCTGAAGTCACCTTTCAGGACCACACAGCAGACGCCGACGAAGGGGTTTCCACCAGTGCACTCGATCGTACTACACTCACGTCGATTTTCCCTGGGAGGCGCGCCGCCGCGACCTCTGTTCCAACCGACTCCGGCCAAGTCGCTGTCACAGACCCCTGTCAAGTCATCGTCACAGCAGTCGCCGGCTACCGGGTTGTAGGTAGGAAGACATAGGAGGACTCATTGCGATACAACCATACTCGAAAAAAGGCGATCCTGTCCATCCAAAGCCACGACAGGAAGCATGACAACTGCTTTGAGTTGTAAAGACCTCTTGGCAATTAGACGGGCACTCTCCTGTTCAGCGACAGGGCGTCGAGTGAAGTTTCTTTCACACTCCTTTGCCAGCTCAAATGCGCTCGCAGCCCTTTTGGCAGGTTCGAGTCATCTTGTCGGCTCTGCAATTACTGCAAATCGCTCTGGAGTGTTCATACGTGCATCTGGCCAATCATACGGCCTTAATCCGCTTGCAGCCACCTCGATCGGGCGCCCAGGTCCATCGGAGGGTACACTACCGGCTTAGATGCGATACGGTCATCAACGTGCTGACACATTGTATTGGTGCGCAATATGCAATGGTCGGGAAAGGCGGGATTCCCGCGTGCTGAAACGTCCACCCGGTGGTTCTAATTAATTAAGTGCCGCCATAACTCTGGGATCTTGGTCTCTAAACCTGGTATGAACGCGGGGTACATGAATCGAACCCCGTGGCAGGGCACCATTGCAGGTCCTTAGATCTTGGTCGACCTCTGGATCGACGTTCTGGGCCAAGGAATACAACGAGAGCAGTGTTTGGATGAAGACGTCGATGTCTCCTGACACTTCCATCCTTCTACCACTTCCCGAATGCAGCTGTCTGGGCTTGTCAGATCAGCCTCGAGCCTGGAAGCAGTCATCAGGCTTCGCTAGATGTCATTTGGGTTCGCATACTGGCAACACTCAGACTGGTTTGACGCCCTCTCGTATATGAGCGGGCCCTCGTACTGCATATCCCAAATCCCCAGTTAGGCTGTGCTCCCTTGCGACGGACCATACTCTTCCGCGAACCGACGAGCAGTCTTGGCAACTTCTTCGAGTCACGCAGATAGACATTTCTCTGAAAGAATGAAGATTTTACATATAAATGGAAGGCTCTCCGCAGATTTCTTGAGGCAAGGATCTTCAAAAGCATAGCGGACATCAAGGGAAACCTCCATCCCATCCGGCATCATGAAGTTCCTCGCAACTATCCTTGCAACTGCCGCAGTTGTCTCTGCCCATGGCTACGTCGACACTGCAGTCATCGGTGGCCAGAACTACCAGTTCTACCAGGTCTGTCTAGTATTGCAGTCTGTTTCGTCTCAGCTGGACTGACTGTCTGTTTCGTGTGCAGCCCTACCAGGACCCTTACATGAACCCCGCCGTAAGTCACTAGAGGCCGCAAGAAACCTACACACCATCTAAGACAAGAATAGCCCGATCGTATCTCGCGCCGCGTGGAAGGAAACGGACCCATTGAAGATGTCAGCCTGATCGATCTTCAATGCGGTGGATGGACCGCAGGTGGCATCTCGGGCTCAGCGCCCGCCAAGCTGCACGCTCCTGCTGCTGCTGGCTCCCAGGTCACCCTCAAGTGGACCCTGTGGCCTGACTCTCACGTCGGCCCAACCGTGACCTACATGGCGCGTTGCCCTGCGTCTGGGTGTAACAACTGGCTTCCCGGCACGCAGTAAGTCGAGAAATCGTGTGCCCCTGTGGGCGTGTGCTGACGAGATAGGGCTGTGTGGTTCAAAGTTCATGAGCAGGGTCTCGTCAACGGTGTCTGGGGTGCTGTACGTGGCGTCCTCTCTCTTTTCTTGTTAGCCCATCACTAACCTACATCGACAGGCCCCCTTGATGGTCAGCGGCAACAGTGGCTACAAGTTCAACATTCCCCAGTGCCTGGCACCTGGATACTACCTCGTCCGCCACGAGCTCATCGCCTTACACGCTGCCTTCTCCTACCCTGGAGCCCAGTTCTACCCCAGCTGCTTCCAGCTCCAGGTGTCAGGCTCTGGCACTGCGAACCCCACTGGGCTTGTCAGCTTCCCCGGCGCGTACACCAAGACGGATCCCGGTGTTGTCTACAACTCGTACATCGGACGTGAGTATTCCTCATCAGAGTCCGATCCAGTCTCGATACGTCTGCTGACTACGAAGCAGAACAAACATATCCCGTCCCCGGGCCCAAGGTCTTTACCTGTTAAGCGCATGGATGCTCTCGTCACAGAATGATGACGATCATCGTCGGAAGACAACCGAATGGTCTGAACCCCTGGTTTGGAGGAGCTCAACTGGGTTTCCATGCAAGGGCGCCGAAAGGTGGAGTCATGGAGACGAGACTGGATATAGCGGGGAAAAGGAATTCAGATCATGTTCCTTTAGCTCCCAAGCATGGCCTGCATGCCATTCTTTACACATGCTTTCCAGGTGCCAAATCTCGGTCTGTCTTACTCGTGATTGTTTGCTTATGCGGCCCACTTGAGCCCAAGAGGGCACTTTTGCAACACATGGCACCGCTGCTCCGAAGGACGGAAACGGACTGGACAACCCACAATGATCATGTTCTTCAAGAAAGCTCGGAGTTTTTTGTTCAGAGTATGGGTCTAAACAATGGATTGTGCAATTGATAAAGATCGAAAGACTTGTACGAGGGAGTCGGAAATTGCTTTGTTCCATGGAACTCGTATGTTGTCAACTGTGTTAGAAATGAACGTACGTGACAGACTGCATTGTTCTACGGTTCATGAACCTGCCCGAAGGTCTCTTAAGGAGAGAGATCTGAGTTCAATAGTTGAACAATGGACTTTGTCCTTGAATCTGACGACCACCGCTCTGTTCCTGGAAACCATTCACTGACAACCTAAGTTGTCAACATGCGCACAGTAAAAGTGTCCGAGGTCAGCACGTCGGCCAAGCTTGATATAAGACCATGGCAGCAACCTGCAAACCACGCTCTTTTATGTAGCCACTCACCACACACCACACATCAAGCATCCGCACCCGTCACATAGACCAAGCTCACCTGCAAAGACCTTAGCTAACCCACATTGCACCACATCAAGACACCCATCCCAAGATCGAGATCATGCCGCAAGATAGTACTCGCAAGCCGCTCGACCCGCGTTCTGCGACGTTCACCCCTGGCCGGTCTATGAGCGCTAATCTTGACACCGTCCATGATGCGACCACTCATGGCACAAATGTCGATGAACTGACCAAGATTCCGGACGCCCCGGTTCCTGCTTACTATGTACCCGGTCAAGTCGTCTACGTAACCGCTCCCTATCTCTGCGTGGAGCGTGCCGATGGGCCCAGCCTCAAGCCTCTTTACAATAACATGCCGCTGCCCAAGAACGTATCCGGTAATCGTCCGGGCTCGAGCGGCATAGGCTCTGATCAAAAGCCCCATGTGCGCAGTGTCGGCGCGCCTCTGGGTTCCCGTGAGAATAGTCAGCCTTCAGCCTTTATGCGCGCGGCAACTGGACCGGTCTCGAACCCCTGGGACCCCCATTGGCCGTCGCAAAGCTACCAGCAGCACGGAAAGCAGCCCGAGGAACGGCCTCGCACTCCTGAAGGGGTAACTTTCGAGGATGACCATGTGTTCCTTCGTGGCTCTAACCTGGAGAACAGCGACCACTAAGCGCAATGCTGAAGATGGACGGAAGCTCACGTGCCATATGCGTGGCTGAGAACACACTCCCTAAGTTTTTTTCCTTGCGTCTTTGTTTTTACGTGTTGTGTCTGAATCACTCATTGTACAGTTTTCCTTTGTCTTGTGTTTGCCCTCGGGAATACGTCATGGCTTTGGCGTAGGTAGACGGATGGATGGTAAGATGGATAGATAGGTAGATAGATAGCACCAGAGGACGACGAAATAAAATCTGGTGCGCAAACATTCAAGGTCCTGACCCAAAGTGAAAACAGTGAGTGCCTACCATGTTTGTCGTCCGGACCACATCCCACGGCGCCCCCACCACGATGAAGTTGGCCATACCAAATGATCCCGACGTCACATTCCTGGGAAAGATGAATGTACTATGTATGGCCAGATCGGGTTCCTGATTAATGATGCTCCTGACAGGGCATGCACTGACTCGGCAGTGCGTCGAGCGACACCCACGAACCGCGAACCCGGTCCTGGCTGGTGTTGACCCCCCCCCCCCCCCCCTGACGAACCTTAATTCGGCCACTCGGGGCTTCGCTTGCCCAGAAATGCTGCCACGCCTTCGGTCTTGTCCCGCGTGCCGAATGAATAGTAATAGAGGCTTCGCTCAAAATCGTCGTCGCGACCCAGATCATCGGCTGCATTCCGGTGAGCTCGGTGTTTCGGGACAAAGAAACCTCTTGTGGAACCCCCCTTCGGGCCCGGGGGACGCGGTCCGGGGCAAGGCGGGACGGGAACACAAAGGAGCAGGTCTGCGTACCTCTGCAGATGGATTCTTTGGCCAGAGACAATGCAATCCGGCTCGAGCTCGCCAGGCGTTGGGCGACGGCGAGAACGTTGTCGAGCACTTGGCCGTCGTCAAACAGCGCGGCCACGAGACCGGCGTCGAGGGCCTCGGAGGCTGGGATGGGTGCGCCTAAAAGGATCATCTTCATGGCCTGTCGTCGTGATCAGGTCAGAATCGGAAACGTGGGCGGGTAAGGCGCAACAAAGCTTACTCTAAATTTACCCACGGCGTTCGTCAACCTCTGGGTACCCCCTGCACCGGGCAGCAGGCCGATTGTGACTTCCGGGAGCCCGAAGCGACTGCCGTGTGCAGCGAAGATGAGATCGCACTGTGCCAATCGGGATCCACATTAGCGCACCTTCTCAACCTCAGCACATCGCGCGCGTCTCAGACCATCGTTGACATCTTCTCGTCCTTCCTCGTCTCTCTCCCCTCTCCCCTCTTCTTCCCCTCAACTCCCACATTGTCCGGGGATCACGTACCATCAATGCTAGTTCGAACCCACCGCCGAGCTGTCAGGGAATCACACCACTCGTTAGCCTCATGTGCCCCAACGCCCATGATCATGTTATTGATCAATAGATGCCGCCGCCTGATCGCCACCTACCGCCATGCCCTCGACAGCGGCAATCAAGGGCTTGCGCACCCCACGCATCCCTGTGCAGAGATCTTCGAGATACCGCCGTTGACGCGCTTCTTCAGCACCGAGCGCGGAAATCTCCTTAATGTCCGCACCCGCTGATTGACATGTCAGCTGTGACAACGCAGTGGCGGGGCCAGATGGTGAGACATGACAATCTCCATGTCTGCCTGCCTGCCTGTCTGCCTGCCTGCCTTACCGCAGAACCTTACCGCAGAACCTTACCGCAGAAACTTACCGCAGAAAAAGCTGCTGCTCCCTGTCACGATGATGACACGGACGCTATCGTCTGCCGATGCCGCCCTAAGATGGCCGAGGAACACGTCGATCAGCTCTTGCGACAGCGCATTGCGCTTGGACGGACGATTCAGTGCCAGCACCCTGACTCCATCCGCCGGCGTCGACGCGAGGACGACAGCCGGCGTCATGGCTGGGCGAGGTGAGCTGATGGCGACTCCCTCCGTCATGGTCGTGGAACGTGCGGCGTTGAGAAATGATGAAGGGAAGGGAAAACAATAAAAAAAGCTGAGTCGAAAGGGCAACGAGGCGGGAGTCAAGAAAAAGCAAGCAAGCCCGGCTGGATTCCCAAATGTCAATCTTCAGCTGAGAAGGGCGAATGGTGCTGGAACCATCACCCGGGGAACAGGATCCGGGCGACAACGTCCCTCAAATACCCCCCCAAAGTTCCCCATTCAAGGGAGCTGATCACGCTGGCTGATTGATCGATAGCTCTCCCATCTCCTGGCCCGTCCAGAATGGATCAGCAGTTGGAATTGGCCGCGACGAACCCCACGTGTAACCACACGTGTGGACACTGCGACACGAGGGTTGAAGACAGCAGTTCTTCTCGAGCCAGCGTCGCGGAATCAAACGCTGCTGCGGATACGGCGTCTTTTGGATGTTCAGTTCACGTTGGGAGTCGATAAACCTGCTCGTCGTTGCGCGGCGTGCGACCTCATGCACGACGTCGGAGTTACATCCGGTCCCCGAGGCAGCCGTCACGTCCTGTTCAGGCAAAACATCAGCGATGATCATCCGCTCGCCATCTTGGTACGACGTTCCGAAGCTGTGCCGCCCCTCCTCCCCGCTTCCCGGCGGGAGAAAAAAAAAAGGGCACAGGGTGAACAAAGGGTGCGCTTGTTGGTGGACGACCGTGCTGGCCATCATCTCATGATCTGTGCGGATGGCGACCCGGGCCAGACTCTGGGAGCTCCCTCGAAACTCGAAGCTGGATTGGGCCGATTCGGCCAGTCTTCGCATTCCTCCACCCCCCGGCAGTCATTAAACCTGTCACGACTTGGTTGTACCGTCGCCTTGACGCGTAGCGGCAATTGCGTCCAAAGGGACGCGGAGCGACCCATCCGAGGCGCTTCTCCAAGTCACCCGCAACCTTGCTGGGCCCTCTCAGATCCTGCAGCCTCTCTTAGTTTCGCCGAAATGCCCAGCGCCGCTGCGATGCGGCATTGCTAGCTTCACTGCCTGCCCGAACGCACGCTCGCTCGCACGTCGGCAGTGCCCCTGCAGCAGGGCATCCCTCACGGCGATCATCGAGTCGCGGGGTAATCGCACCACTCGCGGCTATCCGGGGCGCTCGTAGATTGACCGTCTCCCACCGTGGCCGGGCTGACGAGCAATGACACGCCGCATCACCACCATCTTCGCAACATGCAGTGCTGTTGGTAAGCCATCTGTCAGCCCACAACCGCAGACGCCTTCGTGCAGACGAATGTCGCGAGTACCACGACCTGTCTGATTCAGGTCAACCCATGCCGCCCCAACTGGACGACAATGACATTCCCAACATCCGTCATGGCTCCTTCCCTTTTGAGGGTGACAGCGAATAGCCCGCCGATGGACAGGGCCATCAAGTCTTACCTCCTCCCACCCGGGAGGGACCGCAGAGCAACGCCGGGATCTTTCCGGTGCTGATCCCCGCCAGATCAGTTCGTCTTGTCTTGGACCCTTCCCACTCCCTGCCAACTTCAGACCAACTTTTCAGCAGCCCGTGGCCGTTGGGCAGGCCCTTTCCCGACCAGTCGTTCGTCGACATGCGTGGCCGCACCAGCGCTCCTCAACGGACCGTTTGAGGTGTCAGACCTTTCGCTAGGCTGACGACGCTACCTCGCCAACCACGACCTATTTGCTCATCAGGACAGAGATATCATCCCTCGCGTGTCGAACGAGCATGCATCAATCAGAAGCAGCAGGGGTAGCGACCAATGACGACGGCCGACAGCCTTTCCATCTTTCAAGAACAGTTCGTTGATACATGCCTCGAACCCTAGCTCATCTGTACCCTCAACGCACCATCACATCACTGCATCGCCGATGTGGACTCTCTGGAGCAGGTCACCGAGACCCTGGCCAAGCTGTCTGCAGACGAGGCGGACCGCGTTAATCACGCACGGAGCTGTTGTCGATGCGACCTCATCGACCAAGCAGGGCCAAGGGATGCCGTCTCCGCGCACTCCATTCCTCGATCTGGAAGACCCTTCGTCGACTCAACAGCGGCCGTCAGACGGTCCGTCCCATCAAGGAAGGTATGGGGATTCACGTTGGCGTCTCGTGGGGATACGAAGGGCTCGGCGTGGTCGATACGACTATTTAAGAGCCCTCGTCGGCGTGGTTGAGGGATGGCTTTTGTTGCTCTCCTCAAGCCAGCAACATCTCCTCTTCATCTCTCATTCCTATCACCCCGTCTTTCATCAAGACCCCGTCTTTCATCCTCTTGATGACGAAATCACATCACCGAGAGATATCCATTGTCCAAGCCGGTCACTTCACCGCGCCGCCCACCACGATGGAGAGCATCGTTCCTGCGGCGCCCTGTTGCCCTCCTCTGTCCTTCACACATGGCCCACGAGCTGCGCCCCGGTTCACAACAGTCACGCAAGCCTTCTTTCATCATGCACGCGTTCAACCTGACGTTGTGGCGGCGCGCGATCTTTCCGCCCAGCCCGAACGCCAGATTACGTACCGATATCTGGCCCAGCGTAGCGCGCAACTTACACATCGGCTCCGCCAGCTTGGAGTCGGTCCAGGCGATCGGGTGCCCCTGGTCGTCAAAAGGGGTGTCGATATGCTGGTCGGCATCATCTCAATCCTTACGTGTGGCGCACAATACGTGCCACTCGACGGTGGCGTCGTGCCAGACTCGACCCTGCGTTTCGTTCTAGAACAAACTGGTGGACGCACTGTCTTGGTCCTCCGGTCCACCCAGCACCGCCTGGCTGGGTCCGGTGCCAGCAACGTCATCGCCATTGACGGGGACGACGTTCCGGAGGCGGACGACTATGAAAAGTCCACAACGCCACAAGACCTGGCCACGTCTGACTCTGGGTGCTATGTCATCTATACCTCAGGTATGTCTTCGTCCCTTTCGCTTACGGGAAATTATCTGACAGACTTTTTAGGCACAACGGGAACGCCCAAGGGAGTTGACGTTACTCACCGGAATGTCACAAATTTAGTGTGCCTGTCACCAGGAGGACTGGACATTGGGCCCGGCACACGCGTTGGTCAGATCCTGAACATCAGCTTCGATATGGGTACGTAGCGGTACTTCCATCCCGTAGCAGCCTTGACTAATCCCACCTTTACAGCTGCTTGGGAGATGCTCGGTTGTCTCTGCAACGGTGGTACTCTGATCCTGCGCGGTTCGAACTGGGTGCAGGCCCTCCAACAAGTCAGTGACGTCGAGAGAGAGAGAGGGGGGGGTGAGCGTAGCTGACCAGGACTTAGATGGATGTTCTTATCTGCACGCCCAGCATACTGGCCAAGTATGATCCCCGCGATTACCCAAGTATCCGGGTTGTCGCTACTGCAGGGGAGCCGAGTTCTCAAAGGTATGCTCGATATTCAATGTCCATGTCTCGCCTATCACGCTGATCTTCCCGAAGGCTGGCCGACACGTGGGCGACGCATGGCCGATATTACAACTGCTGCGGCCCGACCGAGACCACCATCGTCAACACGATGCATGCACACATCCCCGGGGCAGCCTCTTTCGATCGGCAGACCCACGCCCAATAACAATGTCTACCTACTCGACGAGGATGGCACCCCTGTCGGGGTCGGCGAGGCGGGTATCATGTGGGCGGGCGGCCTTGGCGTCTCGCGCGGCTATGTCAAGTTGCCGGAAAAGACGGCCGAGAAATATAAGCGCGACCCCTTTGTGAACGATGGGTGAGTCTGTCTGGTGGTCGACTAAGCGACATTGCTGACTTGGCCGCAGGTCCATGATGTACAACACTGGGGATCTCTGCCGCTGGGCGGCCGACGGATCGGTGGATATCCTGGGCCGCGTGGATGACCAGGTCAAGATCAAGGTAAGACACGTCGTCTGCTCTTCACTTCACCCAGTCGACTCGGTCATCTGACGTTCTCTTAGGGCTTCCGTGTCGAGCTTGATGGCGTGACGTCGTCCATGAACACTTTCTGCGAGGTCGACAGAGCGGCTGCCCTTCTGATCGACGAAGAGATCCATGGCTTCGTGACGCCCAAACACTGCAACCTTGATGCACTGAAGGAACACATCAAGGGTCGTCAACCCTACTACGCCATTCCTAGCAAATTCCATCGTCTTGCGACTCTGCCTCTGACTCCCAACGGCAAGATCGACAAGAAGGCTCTGCGGTCCTTCGCTATCACGCCTGAAGACGATGCATCCACCATATGTGAGAGCGCCTCAGGCGAGTCCGTCCGCTCCAAGGTCACCGCAGTGGAGAAGGCGAGGTCCATTTCGTCCACGTCGAGTGTGACAGAAGTCAACTCAGTCTTGTCGGCCTCCGACATCCCGACCCCAGACGAAAAGAGCCACCTGGACGAAGACGTGCCCTCCAAGACGCACAGCAAGCCCTTCCGCAACCTGCGCAACCGCCTACTCATCGTCTACCGCCGCCTATTCACGCTTGTTGGTCTGTTCAACATTGCCGCCGTCATTGCACTTGTGTTGACAGGGCCAACGCAAGAATGGATCGGTATCATGACATCCATCAACCTCGCCACCGCTATTCTTGTCCGCCAAGAATTCGTCATCAACGCTCTTTACACAATCACCTGCAATGTGCCAAAATCGTGGCCGCTGTGCATCAGGTCTCGGTGTGCCAAGATCTACCACCTCGGTGGAGTTCATTCAGGAGCTGCAGTGTGTGCAGGCTTGTGGCTTCTTGCTTCCAACATCAGCGACACGGTATGCATGTTCTCTCAGTGTTCCGGCTGGGGCAGGCAGTCACTGGCCACCAAGGTCATCTCATGGATGCTGTCTGCTCTGTTCATGGTCATGTTTGTCCTGGCCTACCCCTCCATCAGGAAGACGTACCACAATCTCTTCGAAAAGACTCACCGCTTCGTTGGATGGACCATGCTTGGCCTCTTCTGGGCACAGATTGTTCTGAAAACCAATGACGACAAAGCCACCGACCTGCCGCTTGGCGATGCTTGTGTCCGGTCGCCCGCCTTCTGGCTGCTCACCGTTGCGACCTTGAGCATTGCATCATCCTGGTTCTTCCTCCGCAAGGTCCCAGTCGATGCCGAAGTCTTGTCAAACCACGCCATCCGCCTGCACTTTGACTACACAGTGCCCGTCAACGGCTCGTTCACACGCATCTCCCATCGACCTCTTCTCGAATGGCACTCCTTTGCCACCATTCCCGCCCCGGAGCCCGTCGATGGTCGACCAAAGGGCTACTCTCTCGTCGTCTCCAACGCTGGCGATTGGACGCGAGCTTGTATAGAAAAGCCTCCAACGCACATGTGGGTGCGCGGTGTCCCAACGTGCGGCGTCATGCGCATCGCGACGCTCTTCAACCGCGTTGTGGTCATCGCCACAGGATCCGGGATCGGTCCTGTGCTTGGTCACATCCAGAATCCTTCGTGCGCCACGCAACTCATCTGGTCTACGAAAGAGCCTGAGAAGACCTTTGGCGAAGGTCTTCTGCACACAATCAAGGACAAGATTCCCGACGCCGTCGTCCACGACACCAAGAAGCTTGGCCGCCCCGACCTCGTCAAGATGGGCTACAATCTGGCCAAAAGCTTCAACGCTGAGGCTGTGATCATCATCGCCAACGAGAAGATCACCAAGAAGGTCGTGTATGGCCTTGAGACGCGGGGCGTGCCGGCATATGGCGCCATCTGGGACAGCTGAGCATGTCAGACCCGGCCGTGGGCTCTGGTTTTTTGTACTTTTTTTCTACATATTTCCTTCCTGGTTGTTTCTTCTGGTTGCAACTGTTTACATGCTAAGATTCCCCTTTGTTTTCGTCAGTCGTCGAGGGCAAGAACGCTGAAGACGCCCTATTTTTTTCTGTGTTCCCGGGTGGCGTTAAATGGAACAGGTTTGGGAGGCGTTCAGGATCACCGGGGCTTTAGTATGGCCAACACCAACACATCACTCTCTACATTTCTTATCTTAGTCGTAATTCACTACATTCCAACATTCTCGTCGTCATCTGCAATTCCTAGGGTCAGCCATTGAGTCTCGCAGCGAGTACGACGAATTGTCTTTGGCGGCAATCTGCAGCAGGTCGAAAGGCGTTGACGTTGACAGTACTCGTCTGGGTTGCATGAACTTTGGGTCACACCAAGCGGGACAGCTCCTGCCATTGCTTCGAGGTCGCATGCCGTGACTTTGACGGTGCGACCACCGTTGAACCTTTGCGCAGCCTAACCTGTCTTCGGAACCAGAGTGGCATGTGGGCTTTGAGCCTGACAGACGATGGAGACAATTCACGACATAGCGAGACGAAAGCAACATGGCCGACTGGGCAAGCCATGCGGATGCCAGCACATCGGATCCTTTTACTTTAACAAGGCATAATCTGCGAGGCGTGCGTTTTCTGGAGTCGTACGTCCATCAGCACGCCGGTCTCCTCGTCACCACCACCAGCATCATCAGGCTGAAGGATTTTCAGCACGTCGCGCCATCGCCACGTCGCGCAACGGTAGCGGACGAGAAGGAAGGGGTCGTTCATCGCCCATTGAGGAACAGGAACATGGCACCGGGGTCGCGATACGTGCGGCAGACGGAACTATCATGACGCCCCCTTCCGTCTATCACGTCGCACACGTGTGTCAACGTCATGGGGTACCAATGAAGAAGAAGGGGGTGAAGGGACCGTTCTCGTCCTGCACCTTGTTGCGTACCGAGGTACCTAGTGTGTGCGTGTGTGAGGTCTGGCGTTCGCGGGGTCGGGTCCCGGTGCGGTAGTCGGCACTGCCTTGGCGTGTTACGTTGGTGGGGAAAGGACGGTCGGCCGGGCGGCAGTGCTACCTGCCCGTTGATCCTCAACCACCTACCATGCATCGACGCGGCGGGCGTCTTGAGAGTGTGTGTTTCTATATTTCGAAACGACCTCTGTCAAGTCGCCCTAGGCTCATGCGGCACGAAAAATCCATTCCCTGCGCAGACTGGGCGGGTGGTGATGAGAGCGCAGACGCGACGCAGCAGCAGGCAGGAGTGGGCGGTGCCGGACAGGCTGAGGGTGATCGGCGCAGGATGACGCGACGGAAATATACCGGCAGGCGGGCGTGCAGCGGATGCGGATGCGGATGAAGGAATGAGGCTCCTGCACTGCATCAACATCAGCATCAGCATCAGCTTCAACAGCCGCATCCGCAGCAGCGTCAGCCGCAGGTTTGGGACGGTGATCGGGAGCCCTTGTCTCGCGAGCGATGCAACACAAAAGATGGAACGTGCAACGACTGAAGTCGCATGTACCGTTATCAGTTGCAGTCCGAGGACAAGGAGCCGCGTCCCGATCCTCGCGGATATCATGCACTGCCGCGGCTGCCTACGTGTGTGCGTGCCTGCCTGCGCGTATATGTACATGAGGTGCATTTGCTGGAGCAGTAGCAGCAGCAGTAGCAGCAGCAGTAGCAGCAGCAGCAGCAGCAGGAAGGCGAGGAGGCTGAGCTGCATGGGGCGTGCGCTAACGCACGTGCCGTCTGGCGCCTGTAGGCTGTAATTGGATATTAAAAACGGCGGGTCCCAGCTCATTTCCCGCCAATTTTAGACGGCAGTGACGACCCAGGGGTTGGCGCATCCTTGGCGTGACGGGGAAACAATGGACGGATCGTGATTTGCCTGCGTCGCCAGCGCAGAGCAGACGGCTCGTCCCCATTTGAGTCTCAGTACCTTGGCCGTGCGGCCCCAGCCTTGGGCGCAGATCCATTGAAGGATGCAGGTGTTCAACAGCGACTTGCGGTGAAGGTGAAAGATGACGGCGGGGGGAGGTGGGAATTGTCGCGGTGGTAGGCAGGAAGGAAGCAGGAATGCAGTGCCGGCATGGCAGGCGTCATGCCAATGCCAATGGCCATGTCCATGTCCAACACTCGAAGCCAGCGCGTGCCGCGCAACTGAAGCTGAGTCACGTGCACATTGGGGAGTCCACCATTCGCCAGCACGACGGACGGGTCAGAGAGATGATGATGATGATGACGATGATGCCACGACAGGCTTGGGCAGCGTTGGCGGTTGCGTCGTCCATCTCGGAGGGCTTCACTGCAATTGCGAACCGTGGCCTCGACAAGACATGATCTTAATTTGATATGCCAAGTTCTTCTGCTCGCCCCATAGGTCCGCAGAGCTAGTGCTGCCAGAAAGACTGCCAATTCCCTGTTCCGTCTGCTTCGATCCCACAAAGGTGTCTTGTGCTGCCCAGTTTCCCAAGCATAGGTGACTGCCGTGGCCTCGGTACGTACGTCACAAGGCCACCACTCACCGTCACGTCAATTGTGCGGCATTGCCTATTTCTCGATTCCGCCAGCGCGCAGTCGATCCTGCATGCCGTACGCGTACGGCCAAAACGGAGAGATGGGGCTGTGGTTCCCTCTTCCTGTGTACATGGTACTGTACATGTAAATGTAAATCCGTCTGCACACCATAATATTGTCAGCCCAGTCGAGCCACCCGGCAGGTCGCAAGGGGAGAGGAGGTCCCAATTCAAGCCTTTCCCGCCCTGACCAACCGTTGTCTGCCCATTGCCTGTGGCCTCAAAAAAAGGGCCCCCACCAGGCAGCCACCCCGGGATGGCGGCCAGGGGAGGAGGAGGGGGGGGGGAGCACGGGCGCACAGACACGTCTCTGGCCTCGACACGAAAATTGTGGAGGTGAAACCGCGAATGTCCCCCTCCCCTAGCTGCTGAGTGGCCCAAGCCTCTTGGTACCAAACGGGCGAGTCTGGGTCTCGCTCATCCGTGGACCATATGTCGTAGGTCGTAGGTCGTGGCTCAGCGACGAAGAGCAAGAGCAAGAGGAAGAGGAAGAGGAAGAAGAGCGGGTACATGGTACGTGCCGTTACATCCTTCCCTCGCCCTTCTCCCCTTTTTCCCCTTCCACCCCCCCCTCCCCCCTTTACGCAGAGGAGCGTTCCTTAGCGGGACTGGACTTGGGTCGCAGTACCAGGGGCCGGGAGTAAAGGAGCAAGCACCTCAAGTCTTTTTTCTTTGGCTTTTGCAGGTACCATGTACGTGCCACGAGAGAGCATGGACCCAGAATGCCCATCTCGCCTTCCTTGCTACCCTCGCGTTGGCCAGCACCTACCCAGAAGCTAGTCCAGGCAGAAACGAATCGATTGTATAAAGTGGAATGGGCATTTCCTCGAGGGGCGTTTCACAGCAGTGCCTGCCCATCTTGTTTGTTGGCTCCCCCCCCAGTCTCACCTCACTCGCCCTAGTGTCCCTTTTGTCAGGAGGTACCGACCGACCCTTCCTAACCTGCCAAGGTACATGTACCTGACCCTTCCTGAGGTACCCTTGCCTTACCTTGCACCTCGACCTCGTCTTGGCTCGCCTTGGCCTGCCTTGCCTCGCCTTTCCCTTTTTGACCTGCCGCCCCCTTTTGATTAACGACTTCCCTTTCCTTTCTCAACCTTCAACGCGCGTGCGCGCCAACTCGCCTTCGCGTCAACCTCACTTCAACTTCGACCTCGCCATCCGCCTCCCCTCTTTCTTCCTACTGCCAAGGGCGACAAGGACGACGACAGCCGCCCCCTGCGGCCGCCGCCATTATTGCTATCGCCCTTACTGACGCCCATCGTCGCGGGAAACGTCATTCGCGCAAACAATCGCCCTCATCTCATGCGTCGCTCATGATGTTCTCGGCACGGCCCTGTCTGTCGCTGCCATCGGCGATCTGGACCTCGCTGACCCAACACATTCCGCCACGGTTTCGTCGCCTCTTCACCATTAGCCTTCTCATCACCGTTGGTCTCTTCACACACATTCTCCTGCACACGAGACCGCACAGCATCCACCATGCGCCCTACGAGGTCCCCAGCTCCATAGGCGTCGTCCACGGCAACATCGTCGAGGGCTCCCCGCCGAGCCTCTACCCATTGGAGCCGTTTCCGGACTCGCCCATGATCGATGCCGTCGACGACGATCGCCCGCCGCGGCCCTGGCTCGCCGTTGTCATTTGCGCCGCCGAGGAAATGGAGCGCCGCATGATCATTCGCTCATCCTGGATGCGCATGTACGGCGACCTGCCCGTCGACACGCGCTTCGTCGTCTCCAACCCCGGACCCGACTGGACTGCCGCCGTCTCGAGTGAGAACCAGACGTTCGGCGACATGATTGTGCTCGACCATCTCCAGGAGGACGACGTGACCGCCAACACGGTCAAGACGCTCGCCCTCTACCAGTGGCTCATCGACCACAACCACCAGTACGAGTTTGTCTCCAAAATGGACACGGACCTCTTTTTCAACGCCCGCGGCTTCTGGGACCGCTTCCTCGAGCCGCGACTGACCAACAGCACCGGTCGCTACGTCTCCACCGTTGAGCGCACCGTCATCGGCGAGCTCTACTATTCGCATTCGTGGGACCTCGCTTTCCCCCACGGCGCCATGTACACCATGACCTGGGATATGGTCGAGCTGCTCGCCGGGCTTCAGCGCCGCTTCCACGTTGTCACAGGCGAGGACATGGCCGTCGCCATGCTCCTGCTCAAGGGTCGCGAGAGGGCCAATTTCGTCAACTTTCGAGGCACGGAAAAGTTTGACTACCTCGACGAAGACGCGCGCGGCGACGGCACCGCCTGGGCTCGATGCGCCACGCACCCCGAGGCGACGGAACACGCCATTGTCGGCCCCGCACCCATTGCCGTCCACCAGCTTAAGGACAAGGCGCTCTGGTTCAAAGTGGCCGATCTGTTCGATGCCAACGGCGTCAAGCCCATGCCGCCGCCCACCGTGTCCGACCCCTGGCCATCATTATGGATGCGCTGGCACGACTTTTGGTACGCCGTGGGCGTCAAGGGCCTCTGGTCGTCACGCCACAGCCGCATCCCGGATTTCTTCTGGTCTTACGAGGACGGATCCTGGATCTGCGACGGCATCTGGAACCTCGGCGCCACCAAGACGGGTTACGTCAAGGCGGCCGCTACGACGATGCTCTCGTGGGAGGAGGAGAGCGAGCTGGTTGGACTGGCATAATTCGGCTGCCTGGAACCAAGAGGTCCCCACGGGATTGATTGGCTTGATTCAAGTCATGGGAGTGGAAACCATCAACCCTCCCCCCCCCCTTAGAGAAGCGATGCATGCGCGGCTGCCCGCCGGTTAGGCAGCCAACTAATACCCCCCCTATCTTGTTCTTTCTTTGTTTACTTAGTGGGTGTCATATACAGTTCATTTGTCGGCGGAACTCTTCCTGTCAGATTAGGTAGAAATCTGGAGGTGGAGAAGAGGTGTCATTGGATGGAGAGCAGCATATCCCATGCCTAGCTACAGCTACAGCTACATTGGACACGGAGTCTGGTCAGGCGTTTGTTCTTGTCGGGGCTCATAGACAGGTTCCACCACCCACGGGCCTGCATCCGACGGGTGAGATGAATTGACGATACCTCTTTTTTTTTCTTCCATTCCCCTGGATTCCTAAATGGCTGCCTGGTGATACATGACAAGTTCTGGAAGCTAAAGAGAAACAAAGGTGATGAGGTGGCCTGTGGGGCCAAGAGAGTTCAGGCGGCTCCCGACCACGAATCGGGTAGCGGGCGATCATATCGACTACGCAGCACGCCCCCTTCTCCTCCATTTCTCCCCTTTGTCGGTTGTCGCGCAGGCGAAGGTGGTGGCAACGATAGACGCGTTCCTCTGGAGCAAACCATACAGCCCTGCCCGCGCCCTCCAGTGGGTTGTGGTGGGCGGATGGCCGCCGCCGGCTTGGCGAGGTGGTTCGGCAGCTTGTGGGGGAGGGAGGGCTTGTAGGGACAGGGAGTTCCCCCCCCCCGCGGCGGCGACTGGAGTCCGTGGCCGGGTCGGCCGCTGGTTGAGCCGCCTTTTTACCGTTTTGCCTTGCGACCTTGCGACGTTCGGAGAATGCGATCAGTAATTTCGCCTCGGAAGCCCATGGTACGGAAAAGTTTCAATCGGCTCATTCTGCTCGATGGCATTGAGTTGGCTGCCTGATCGCCCTGCCTCATGCCCTTCGAGATGCTCTCAGCCCCCTTTGATGCACTATGGCGAATGCGTTATGCGGCGTGCGCCTCGGCGCAGCAGCAGCAGCAGCAGCCATGGCTCGGGAAGGGGCCTCATTGTTTGGCGATCCCCTGGCCTCGAATCTGCTGAGGCGAGGCGAAGGCCGGACGTGTCTTGTGCCTTTCACTGCAAGCTGTGCGTCTTCACCGTCCCCCGCCCCGGGCGAAAGCGGCACGGCGTACCATGTCTGCGCCACGCGACGTCTTGGCTTGGGACGGATGGACCGATTGACGGGATGCATGGCATGCGATATGTAGGTGTACGAATAGCGATAGAACGCGAGAGGGGCGTGCATTGCGCATCGAGAAGCCGACCCGACTTCCCCATCACCAGTTCCCACCCAGCGACCACGCGAATAGGAGCATCTCCTTTTTTTTTTTTCCTGCGAGCGCCGGCATGGTTCGACTCGGCGGTGCACAGGCACGCGCGCCAGAGGGAGTTTGGGGAGTTAGTTGACTGCTTTGGTATGGTGACGGGGTACAGAAATGGCTGCCTGGCAGGCAGATCGAACCCTATTTTTTATTTTTTTTATTTTTCTTGTAATGTTTCTTTCCTTTCTGCTCCCCCTACCTCGCTTTCTCCCTCGCGTGCGCTGCACTGACCCCGTTGACAGGGACTCTGGAATCTCGGAGCCTTTCTGACTGGTGGGTTGCTCCGTCGCGCTGTGGACATGGGGGAACCGCCTGTTCTCGAATCAATCTTCGCGGGCTACGGAGTCTCGGACGCTGCGAAAGCACAGAGCGGCTGTCCGGGGTGGGAACAAAGTCAACATGTGTCTGCCTTGAGACCGTTGGCGCCCGTTTGGCCACAGTTCTGTACGAGATTCTGGTTCGGGTTTTGGATCATCAACGTGGCCAACGGCCAAAGAACGTAAACCGAGCAAAGCGACCGGGGGCCATCAAATCGATGATCTCGACGTCACCTGTGTCTGGCGGGCTGGAATGGATTGGTCTCGAACACAGTGCGTGCGAGACGGATGATGTTCGTGGCAACGGCGTATCAACGTCATGGTCCAAGAGAAGAACTCGTCATGTCAGACGGTTCATCGTCCGTGGCGGCGAGTATGACCTGTGATGTCTGGGTTGGCGTGAATACAGTCAGATGAGAAATCAGTGGCGACCATCGCCGCCTCAACGCCAAGCCGGTCTCAAAATCGAGGAATGAAGATGATTGCCATGTGTAGTATGCCTGTCTTTGCCTGTGCCACTGACTCACCTGGCTACGAGCTTTTCATCCTCACCTCGGGTTCAACACTTTACTCATGAGCTTCGGTCTTACAGCTGCGATGACGAAAGGAATGAGCAGACCACTCTCTGGGACTTATCATGAACATGAGTGGCTTATGCGACTTTGACAGGACGAGGACAAGCTGCCTGACTACCGCCTGAAAATGTCATTGGCCTGATTTAGTCGGCTATCAGTATGCACATGTGAACCAAAGCTGCCCTTGTTCACAGATATACCGAATTTTAAACCTGATATACAATGATAGAGGAAATTGGTTTGTGTTAGATCGTGCTGGACTGCTACTACCGAGCATATAACGGTACGCCTTGAAGGTTGCTCGCCCGAGCTGGTCCTCTCGAGCCCAAGCATGCATTCTGGGGGCGCCGACACCCTCCAAGGGCATCAATGTGATGACCTGACACATTTGTGACAATGGTTGCGAATCGACATCACATCAATCATGGACTAGATTGAGCGACAGTACATACTACAGCCCTAAGTGGAACTGCGTCATGTGTGGACAGCACAGACTTGTGTATGTTTGTGTTTGAGTGCCTACGCTCAATAGGTATATTGCTTCACGACAGTAGCCAGAGAAGATAGCACAAGGCAGAGGTGCTCTCGATAGCTACAGGAAAATGCCGATAGAGGGCCAGTGAAGATATGTCAGCGTATCTCCTATACACACCTCACCATACCTTGGTTGAGATGAACAATAAGTCGAATTGTAGTAGTGATGTTCGTCTGGTTATGTATGCGTCCCCTCTTGAAAGACCGAGGCCTTCGAGACGAGGGCACTTGCAAACATGCTGTAACTTGAGGGCTGATCCACCTTCCAAAGAAATTCAGTCTGCGTCACACAGAGTGAATGTAATATCTAGTTGATCAATGCAGCTGCCTACATAGAATAAGCGTTGCCTTCCTCCGCCTTTCACAACCAGGACCTGATATAAACTGCCCGAATCATTACTCTGTCCTTGAACAAAGCTGTAACAAAGTTATCCACCACAAGTTACCACTCCAAGATGTTCACTACCACTACTTCCGCTGAGACACCGATATGCAGCCCTATGCCGGAATACTCGGTGTCATCGAATCGTCCGCAAATTGCCATCACCTCCATCGTTCGAATCCGACGCATCCATGGCTGGACGGCATACATCAACATTCACACGCAACGTTCGACTTTCCTTCCTGCACAAAACTCAGCGAGGGATTCCGAAATACAATGGCCAGGCACCAAAGCCAGGAAGAGAGTGCCAGTCTGTGCCCTTTGCTTCTCTGTTAGGGTCGGTCGAAGGGACTACTGTGTAAGGTGCGCGAGGTTGCTGGCTGCTCGCGAAGCGGACAAAGGATAGTGAAACAATGCTGCGGACAAGGCATGAAAACAAAGCAATGGTTCGTTAAAACACAGAGTGTGCCACAGAACTGTTGAGGCTTATCCTTTGAAACAGATCATGACAGCTATCCTCGTTCCTCATCAAAGGGAAAGGAGGCGACGTACTTGGGGTAGAATAATTCAGTTCAGAAAATTCAGTCAAGAAACCCAAAGGGGCCTATTGAGATTCCATCATCAAATCGGCCTGACCTTGACCATGAAGTCCACAGGTCTTAGGTTGAACCACCCATCCTGCTTCAACTCATAGCTTGGGTCCACCATTGCGAAATTGACCCCGCGGATGAGCTTCGTCAGAGCAACCATGTTCCACTGCCACGCATAGTGTTTACCAATACATTCGCGCTTTCCGTTTCCGAACCACTTCTTGACGCTCACGGGCAGATTGTCGAATGTCTCACCCATCATTCTCTCGGGAACGAAGGCTAACGGGTCTTGAAAGACTGCCGGGTCGCGATTCACGCCGGCCAGGACAATAATCATTGGCTGATTGTGAGCAACCTGGTATTTGCCTTGGCCTAGGACCACCGGACTGGTGTCATTCTCCCTGGGGATCGGCTCAATGTTGAAACCCGGTGCGGCGAATGATAGACGCAGTGATTCTCTCATGATGCCTTCGATGTAGTGAAGCTGCGACAGGTGCGCATAGGTGAGTTCACCACCGGCCAGCACGAACTCAATCTCTTTACGCGCCGTGACGATGACGTGCGGGTTCTTGAGGAGAAAGTAGATTGCAGTCGAAACGAGGGCAGGCGCCGTGCTGCTGCCGATCGGCATGGATACGATGTTGTCGATGACTTGCGATTCTCGGAGACTCTGGTTCGTCTGGGGGTCTTTCCCATTCATGAGGACGGAGAGAAGGTCGTTTCGGCCGTCCAGAGAGGGGTGTGCTTTGCGATGGTCGACCATTTCCTGGGCATACGTTCGCATGACCTTGATGGACTTGTTGAATTTGCCCTTGAGAAACCAGTTGACGAGGCCGGGTCTGGTGGGCCGCTTCATGGCTTCCGAGGTGGAATCTTCCATTCCTTTGATCATGGGGTGTTCAGGGCCGTCGAGTCAATTGAGCTTTTTGCCGTACAGAGTAAGTGTTGTCGCCTCGAGGTTCAGACGGTTCAGCTCGCTGATCAGGGACACCTCGTTGTCTTCTCCGAGGACTCTCCACTTGTCGATGAGCTCCGTGGCCGTGTCGCGCATCTCTTCGAAGCGATCGGCCATTGACTGTGGAGTAAGCTTTGGCGCAATGATGCGGTGGGCAATGCCCCAACTCTCCTCATGATCGTAGGCTGTGAAAAGCGCGTCATGGACGGCAGCACGTATCTCGACGACGGGCCCGCCAACATACTTGCGGAAGCGCTTCTCGTCGCAGAGCTCTTCAGCCAGAGCGGCACTGGCCACGAAGACAATGCCGTGGCCGAGCACCTTTATTTGGAAGATCTCGCCGTATTCCTCCGAGAGCTTCTTGAGCGAGTCCCATGTGTTGCTCGGATTGACGTTGAACAGGTTACCCAGAAGAGGCACTCCAGGGGGGCGGGGGATTGGCTGGCTCATGGTGCTGATGTGTCAATCTTCAAGTGAGGAGAGCATTTCAACGAGAAAGGCCACCGGTACAAGGCCCCTTATATTTCGCCCAGCATTGCACTGCAGCATTGGAGTGTCCAATGGAGGAGGCGTGACGTCTCACATCTTTGGCCGACACCACATCATGTTGTCTCACACACCAACGCACCTTGCAGCGGGGGTCAGCCAGCCATCAACGAGCCCGGCGTATGAATTTGCATTGCTGGGAAAACCATTGGTCATCAGAGCTTCAAATTAGTCGGTCGCTGAAAAAGAAACGAGCTGGGCCGTTCTGTGTCCTCTGTGGTACCTTGATGTAAACACATACACTGCGTACCTACTACCCTGTAAGATGTGCCGCGTTCGTCAGGTGTTTGAATCAGCCAGCGAGATTGATCATTCACAGGGTCTCTCTTGTTACTTTGAAAGGAGAATTGCACTGAGCAATCACTGGCTGAACAGGTGAGGAGTGCTGGTCGGTCAGGCGTGCTAGCCTGGCCGTCGATCACCTTGCGTAGTAAAACAATGTGTCGGGCACGCACACTCACCGTGAACACGGGCCGCGCCGTCATGGCATGGGTTTTTACTGAAGACCCCACTAACACGACACTTCCAGATAGAGGCAAATTTGGCTGTCAAACTGATTTTCAAGTCCAGCCGGTATGGAAACTTGGGCATCTATTATAGCGGAGGGGTGGAGGTGTGCCTGCCTGGTAACTTGCCAAAGACTTGGAGTGCGAGTTCACTACCAGAAACATTGAAGCCATAGAGTGTAGTTGCAACAAACACAGTTCGAAAAGCTCGTTGGCATAGCGTTCTCGGGTACAAGACGACATCAAGCCCCGAAGCCGAAGAATTCAGAAAGACAAGGTCATGAAGTTTATCTCCTCGAGCCGAGGAAATTACTTATCTGCAACTCGGTGACAGGTCTGAGTTGATACCCAGCCGTGGCCATCAGGACTCGATATGCCTTCCTGCTCCTTCCTCGGGCGTCGTTGACTTTCCATTCAACGACACACAACTGCAGGCCTTTCATCGTTATGACTATTGTCAGCCGCCCGAGTGAATTTTAGAAGGAGCCTGAAAAGGTCATGGTATTCTGTCTCCTGCCTCTTTCTAATTGTGGCAAGCACGCAATCCCGACCCCTTGATCTCTTTTTGTTTCAACCTTTCAACTACATTACGCTCACCTGCCTCACAAACCACTTCACTTGACCGAAGCACCTTGCAAGATATATTGAAAACTTCTACAAACTCGTCGAACTGAAGAAGGCCCATCAAAATGTCGAGCTCAAACGGCGTGCCTCATCGACACGCGGGTCTACAGCCAGTCTACATAGCCACCCCTCGCACCGACACAGCGAACAACGTAGGCAGGATTACCGGTATTGATTCTGATACTCTCAACAAGAACATAGCCCCTCAACGAACGGCGACAAATTCAGGAAATACGGATCTCGATACCCTCTCGTCCCGTACAGATCACATCATGTCCCAGCTTCAAGGGAACCGTAATACTAGCCGTATGGGCCGTATCAAGCATTGCAACAAGTGCAAGCACCTCTATCCTATCGAACACTTTCAGTTTTTAGACAACTTTGGTCGCTTGAAGGAGCGAGTCAATTGCCAAACGTGCCGCACAAAGCGTCGTGCCTCCGACAGAGCGCGATTGGCCCGCGAGAAGGAGGCTCAATGGGCCGAGCAGCAGCAGCGACGTCAGGACCTGGGACAGTTTTTCCGCGGCAGCGTTCCCTCAACAACCATACCTAATCAAATTGCCTCGCCTCAAGGTGGTCTTGTTGCCGATGAACCTCAGACGCAGGCATTGCAGACCGAGCCCGGCTTCAACACGATAGCACTCCGAGACCTGATGCCTGCTGGCTGGGAAAAATGGGCTGTACACAATCACCAGCCTATATCCGCTCAATCCGACTCACAGAAACCTCCGGTTATATCTTCGACTCACTGCCAAGCACCCATACATGTTGATCCTCGCCGTCTAATCAGCACGCCGGGCGGCAAGGGGAACATGAAGACCGTTTACAAGGCGCCCCTGCCTCAAGGCGCACCCAACACCACCCAACCTACCTTTGAGCCCAATAAGTTCATGGGACTGTCTGGAAAAGCGCCGGGGCTTCATATTGGTTCGGGTCAGGTCGGGTTCGGCCAGGACGCACCACACGGATTTGCAGAAGACAGCACAACTTGCCCAGTCGCCATGCCGTTCTCCTCGAGCTCTTCAGACCCTGCCGACTTCTCGTTAGCCTCGCCCATGGATCTTGCTGCTGGTTTGCATGCCACTGCGCCGTTGGACTTTGGAAAGCTTCTTCTGGGGGATGGCCCACCTACTGCAGACTTTGATGACATGGACATGGTATGTAGCCGCAGGCTTTCGCAGCTTGGATAAATAATTGACCATTGTGCACAGGACTGGTTGCATGAAGCCCAAGCATCGCACACAGACTTTATGGAATTTCTTGACATCGATAGCGCCAACCCGACAGGCTGTCCGACGCAGGCAGAACGCGAACTCGACGAGTTGTTGCAACTGAACGTTGAGGACCACGCTGAACACTGCTTTCCGCAGCTGCCCGGACAGTCCCAGGAGATGTCAGTCGACCACAGCACTTGTATCGAAGCAACTTGTCTTTCGCCTGAGCAGAGCGAACAGATCAGTGGTGGTCATGCAGAGGCGAACCCTGACGGCAACAAGCATGTCCACTCTCTTCCCACTATTTCTGCAACCCAGTTGGCTAGTATGACCCCTCTAGAGAAGCAGACTCTAGAGAGATGGGAGACTGGCCTGAAAAAGTGCTCGCATCTTCGTGATCTGGACGCGTCAACGCTCGAATGCCTCTGGCTAGAGCGCTGGAGTGCCGCTCAGACTGGCACGGAGGTCTGCCCGCACATGGCGGAAACACCCAAGAAGCTGTGGCAGATACCGATCAATACTGCGCTCGTGTATCCCGAGAGTCACATAAGCATCACTTGAGTTCTCGGCCGAGTAAAGTCGGCAATAACGAGGGGGGGGGGCGTCATGCCTTGTTGGAGGGAGCATGGTTCCGCAAGGTGCTTGTCCAAACTTAGGCTCGACACCAAGCCGACGAAATGATTGCACTTTCCTACGCATTCAGGTCATGACGGGCCGGTAAATGGCTTGGTCCAATTGAGGTTCTTGATTCTTGACGTCCAGAGGGGGCTGAACGGGGGTGATAGGGGGAGCGTCCTCCCTAGCTTGCGGCTGGGCCTACTGGGGATACGTTGGCTACCATGCTTAACTTGAAGCTGCTTTTCATTCTCGATTCTCGATTGTACATGGCTGGTGATGTGTTCACAGGAACCAATGCGATATATGCTGTTGTCTAGGCTTGCCGTGTCTCCATTGTGTCTAAGGTACCTCAACTTGTCAAGGTCAAGCAGTGACAGCTAACGCTTGTGGCTGGACCACCCAGACAATCGCGACAACATCACGTGATGAGTGATTTCCCTTGACATCTACCAACAGCCTCCCTGATCAAGTATAAACCATGCCGCTATCTACTCACCACGTTTCTCTCTCGTCGTATTTCCACCAGGATGGTCCAGATGCCACATGCCATGACGTCACGACATCTGACGCAAGTTTCCTGGCAACATTGCAGCCCACGCCAGCCAGTCGCTGCAGCGTGACGGCGCTTCTAGACCTGTCAGTGTCCCAACGGACCACATGCACGCATGCCGGTCGCTCAAGCTAGCTGTGCTTCCAGCCAGTCCAGACTCTGCAAGTGCAGACCGCGTGCAGACACGCGTTCAGCTAGCCAGGGCCGGGGGGCCTGGGACCAGCTGTGCGCGCGGCGCGAGAACCTGATTGTCAGGGTAGCTCCCACCCCTCCCCCCACCACCAAAAAATACGTGAGGGCTTAGTTTTTGGCGTGGAGGAGGCACATACACCGCTGCTGTTGGTTGATAAGACCATGGGGGATCGATCGGATGTTCTGGCGGGCGCCATTGATGAGGAGCTACGGTGACTTGTGATATAAGATGCAGGGCCATCCTGTGAGCCCCCATCACACCTGAAGCTGGCGTGTTTGCTCTTCGACCTCTTCTTCTTCTCCCTTCTTCTTATCTTGATACCCGGTGACGAGTCAAGAGCCGCTGAGTAGCGATCGACCGACAAGATGGGCGACCAAAAACCAACCCCCGAGAACATGACCATGATGCAGGGCTTTGAGTGGTACGTGCCCGCCGACCAGAAGCATTGGGTGCGTCTCGAGAAGCATGTGCCGCAGCTCAAGGCATGGGGTATCGACAACATCTGGGTGCCTCCGGGGTGAGCTCACATCCCAATGGTGTTCGTGACAACAAGACACACAAGACCTGACAGCTGCCAGATGCAAGGGATCCTCCAAGGAGGGCAACGGGTACGACATTTACGACCTCTACGATCTCGGCGAGTTCGACCAGAAGGGTTCCGTTGGCACGAAATGGGGCACCAAGGAGGAGCTCCTGAAGCTCGCCAGCACGGCCAAGGAGAACGGCGTCGGCCTCTACTGGGACGCGGTGCTGAACCACAAGTTCGCCGCCGACCGCAAGGAGAAGTGTCTCGCGGCCGAGGTCGACGCCAACGACCGCAACAAGTTCGTATCGGACAAGTACGAGATCCAGGCGTGGGTCGGCTACGACTTTCCCGGGCGCAAGGACAAGTACAGCAAGATGAAGTACCATTGGTACCACTTTAGTGGTGTCGACTTCAACGCCGCCAACGACAAGACGGCCATCTACAAGATCATGGGCGACAAGTCGCAGGGGTGGGCCGACACGCCGGACGTGGACGACGAGAAGGGCAACTAGTAGGTCCTTTCCCCCCAGCAAGCCTCGACAGGCGGCGCCGACACAGGCTTGCTGACCGAACACCACGTGTACAGTGATTTCCTTATGGGCTCCGATCTCGACTACGACCACCCCGAAGTCGTCGAGGACGTCATCAACTGGGGCAAGTGGCTGGCAAAGGAGATGCCCCTCAAGGGCATCCGCTTCGACGCCATCAAGCACTACAGCACAGACTTCCTGCGCAAGTTCATCACGACGCTCGACGAGGAGTTCGGCCAGGGGTGGTTCTTCGTGGGCGAGTTCTGGAAGGACAGCCTCGACGACATGACCGACTACCTGGCGCGCATGGGCAAAAAATTCTCCCTCTTCGACGCCCCGCTCGTTTACAACTTTAGCCAGATCAGCAAGTCCGAGGGCGCCGACCTGCGCAAGGTCTTTGACGACACGCTCGTGCAGAAGGAGCCCGTCAACGCAGTGGTAAGCGCGCCGTCCCCTCCCCGAAAAGAACCTTTGCAAAAGACCAAAGCCCGACAAGGTGCTGACCACTAGAAAAGACGCTGGTCATGAACCACGACACGCAGCCCTACCAGGCCCTCGAGGCCCCCATCGAGGGCTGGTTCAAGCCGCTCGCGCACGCCCTCATCCTCCTCCGCAGCGAGGGCTACCCCTGCGTCTGGTACGGCGACCTCTACGGCATCAAGGGCGAGCACCCCTTCCCGCCCTCGTGCGGCGGCATCGTCCCGCGCCTGACCCTCGCCCGCAAGCTCTACGCCTACGGCAAGCAGGCCGACTACTGGGACTTTGCCACGTGCGTCGGCTGGGTGCGCTACGGCACCTGGGACCGCCCCGCCGGCTGCGCCGTCGTGCTCAGCAACGCCGGCGCCGGCGAGAAGAGGATGCACGTCGGCGAGGTCCACGCCGGCGAGGTGTGGACCGACGTCCTCGGCTGGAGCGACCGCGAGGTCGTCATTGGCGATGACGGCTTTGGCGTCTTTGTCTGCGGTCAGACGTCCGTCAGCGTCTTTGTGAACCGCGAGGCCGAGGGAAGAGACAAGTTTGGCGGCGAATTGTGAGTCCCCCACCCTTATAATGCCTGATCATGTTGGTTTCAGAGAGCCAAGCTGACCATCCCACAGTGATACCAACATCTATGAAGAGTAGGTAGACCAGGGGCGGGGTAAACCCAGTGGGAAGACATGCACGTTGTGATAATCGCGTGATCAGGAACACCATGTAGTCACACATAGCTGTCAACTGTAACCAAATCTACGCATGTTGACGCTCCATGTTCACAAAACGACGACGCATCACCGACCATCGATTCGTTTAGACAAGTCTTTATGTATGGGATCGAGTTGTGTTCCCGCTATCTAATACACCGCGACGTGCCAGCCGCAACCCGCTTCCCTGTGCGCAAAGAAAAAACAAGCCGGTCACATCGTCAATCATGTCGGCCCATACCCGGTGGTTCCCCTATCACATCAAGCGGCGGTGGGGATCCCTACCCCTGGTGACCTCTAGAAAAGAAAAACAAGACCCATATAAACGCCCGGGAGACCCTCAGGTCCCGCCCATGTGATGCCGTTCGAGAAGAGTGTAAGGAAAGAAGATTGGCTCAAGGTATGATGTGGTGTAAAGGAAAGGATGGCGGGGGACCGCTCTAGAGGCAAAGGCGCTCTAACCTGGCCAGCACAGGCTCGAGGCCGGCGCTGATGCGCTGAACCCTGGCAATGGCGACCAGAGACGTCTCCTCCTCTTCGGTAGCGTCCACCAGCTCATAGCGCGCCAGGACCTTCTCTGACTCGATACCGCCGAAGAGGTCAATGTGTGACAAACCATCCGTGTCAAGCTCGACAGGGGCGGTTGCAGATGAAGCGGGCGTCGTGTGGTAGAGAGCGAATTCAGGATCATTCTCGAAATCATCATCATACGTCTGCTCGGGCTCCGGGGTCTTCTCGAACACGGCAGGAGCGGCATTCATCTTGGGCGACTCGATCATGGGAAGCTCAACCTTGTCATCGTCCGACTCGAAGGCCTCGCCCACAAAATTGGATGTCTTGCCAGAGAGAATCTCAGCGTCAATGGTGGCGGGCATCTCTGGGGTCTCAAGCACGGCATAGACTTGAGGCTGGAAGTTGAAAGAGTCGTTGTTCAGGTTGAGCATGGAGAGATCCATGTTCTGCTCCGGGATCATAGCCATGCCAATCTGTTGTTGTTGAGACTGCTGAGCGGCGTAGGGGTTGGAATCCTTGTGAGGCTGCGCCTTCTCCGACTGACGCTGCTCAGGCTTGACGGGCACCTGGACAGGCTGCTGCGGGATGGCCTGGGGGTTGTTGCTGAGGTGGTCAAGGAAGGTAGAGAAGGAGGGCGAGGTCAGGAGCATGCGGGTGAGATCCGACAGGCGCTTGTTCTCCTCCATGAGAGCATGGTTCTGCAGGCGCAGGTCGCCGTTCTCGGTGACCTTGTTGGCAATCTCGGCCTCGAGCTGCGTGATGTATTCTGTGTGTACCAGGTTAGCTTCATGAATACCTTTGGGTATGTGGTAGTGGCGCCGGGGGGGACTGTGTGACTTACCCTTCCTCCTGGAGCGGAAAGCACGGGCAGAGACCTTGTTACGCAGCTGGCGGCGCTCCTTGCTGCTGAGCTTCTTGCCCTCCTCACTAGCGAGCAACCTCTCATCTTCATCCATGTCGTCCTCGTCCTTCTTGGGACGGGAAATGTTGAGCATGGGCATGCTGCCGTCGTCTTCCGAAGCCGACTTGTTGCGCATGGAGTTGAGGAGCTGCGTAATCTTCTGCTCGACAATGGGGTCGGTCGGCTGAGCGCTCTTGGTTCTGGGCCTCGTCTGCTGGGGCTGCGACTGCTGCCTTTGCTGCTGCTGAGACTGCATCATCTGTTGCTGAGCGCGCTGCTGAGCCTGAGCCTTGGCCAGAGCGGCAGCCTGCGTGTGCATGCCAGGCCAGAGACGACCGACGTTGCCAGACTGCGACGGCAGGACGGGAGATTCCTGTCCGCCGATGGCATTCGGGTTGATGGTCGACTCGGTGCCAGGGAAGAAGTACTGAGACTCGGGGGGAGAGTCAAAGTCCATATCCATGTCGAGGCTGCCGGAGCCCTGCGAGTGGGAATGGGCAGAGGGGGCGGCGTTGAAGTCGAACATGTCGTCGGCGGGGCTGACGTTGTTCAGAAACTCCATGCCGTAGCCGCTGTTGTAGCCGGAAATGTGCGAGTTGGCCTGGTTGACGGCGAGCGTGCTGGCCAGAGCGCCTGGCACGATGCCAGTCTGCTGCTTGTAGAGCTCGTACTGGTGGCTCGGTCCGCTCAGAGACGGTTGCGCCGTCGAGGGCACGGTCGGGGTCTGGATGGAGCTGACAGATGGCCTGCTCGGGAAAGAGTTCTTGCTGGCTGAGGGGGAGAGCGACGGCGAGGCATAGGCAGGCATTGTGTCATACTCGCTCAGGTCGATGAGGCTGTCGAAGTTGTCGACATTCTGGGGCTGATCTGTCGTCATGGCGACTATATGTATCGGAAAAGGCTTTCGGTCGGCCGGCGAAAGTGGGAGTGCCTTTTGTCTAGGTAGATTGGCGTGTGCTGGAGTCAGGAAAGTGTATACCTATTGTCTGCTTGATTGGATGCTATGTTGGAGTACTTGAGTCGTGGTTCGTAGCGAAGGCGATGATGATGATGCTGGCAGTGGTAGGCAAAAGTGAACGACGTTGAATACAATGGGAGGTGGTGATGGTGGATGAGGATGACTGAGGAAAGATCGGGGTTTGTTTCTTTGGGGGGGTGGGCAGGAGGCAGCCTGACAAAGTACAAGTGCTGGGCGGGGGACCTTTTTCTTGGGACTTGAAAAGGAAAAGTAGTACTTGACACGGACAAGACAATAAGAACGATTGATTACTGCCTACAGTACAGCCTGTGCATGGGCCCGGGCCAATTCCAAAACTGGGAATGGGCATCAACTTGGACCCAGGGGGGAAAGAGGGGGGGGGGGCTGAGAGCGCAGTTGCTGGCGGGCGGTGGGGGAAGGAGAGGGAAGGGGGACGCGTCAGCTCATGGAGGCCGACGCCCAATCGGGCCTAGCACAAACAACGAGGCCGACCCCGCCAGACGAAGGCCCGAACCAATGAGATGTCCGGATGGGTTGCTTCTCGTTCTTCGGAAGTATCCGTTGGCTGTCATTGCTGGGATCTCGCACTCTCGCACCGCGAAACTGCCCCCTCTTCGCATTGGAATTGTGATACGAAGTGCCTACCTCCTTAAGGTACCTACTGTATAGGTAAGGTACCTCCTGAAATACTGCCTTAGGTAAGCCAGGGGAAGCCGAACTTTGCCTCCCGCAACATAACAGGCCACAGCGCGCTGTGAGCAAATGTGACACTCCCTCCCTCCTTGCGATGCACTGTAGGCAATGGCCCATGATCATGACTGACCGTACAGTGTATCGGCAGATGAAGGGAACTGACAAGCCCGGCTGCACAGTCGCGCTTCGCCTCATTCAACTGCCCAACTCTATTAGAGCACATTACATCAGCTCAGAGACATTTGTTGACGATCGATTCAATTGCCATGAGAAAGGAATAGCCAACTTTCCTTAAACTGCTGCCTATTCCCACATCACACCGACCTCGGCCTCAGCGCGAAAAGGAAACTCGCCGTTGAGCCCGAACCGCCCATGGCCCAGGGCCCATGGACGTTGTAGCGACCGCTAGCACTGCCCCCAAACTCGCCCAAGCGTGAGCCAGTAGGGAAGAACAGTCATCACAACACACGCACATGGCCTTCCCCAGCACGCAGCATGCAGAGCCTACGCGGCCGCCGCCCCCCCTTCGCACCTGAATCCTCGCCCACAGTTCCGGGCGCATTTTACTTCCGTCTCACGATCGCTGCTCATCTCGAAAACGGCCAGCCTGATGCACTGCCTACTTTGAGCGATGGAGGGAAGGGGGGAGGGGGGATGAGGGCTGTTTGCCCGCTCCTTCAAGGGTATTTGACATTGCCAATCTCGCGGGGAAGCCGTCTCATGAGCAAGGTTCCATGGGTAAGGCGTGACCCTCGACATTGACAGCTGTCCAACTTACATCCTCAATCCCGAATCTTGAGGCGCTCCCAACTATCCACGGGAACGACTATTTTCCCTTGGGACGAGGGTTCCCTCCAAGGGCCCCAGAGGTACCGTGCCTTATTACCTTATTAGCATGCGAATGGGCGAGTCAGCTTGGGGGGCTTGATTCCCTGAGCACTGCACTGCAAAGCACAGGACGGCGGAGTGTCCGGACTGCCACCGCCCAACACCCACCTCCCACCACCCGAGACTCGGTACGTCTAGTCAGCACCGGGAGCACCAGCACCACTCGGATCCTCTCATGGTCGCGACCACGATTACGCCAAGGTATATTGGGCAGAGAGACCGCGCCAATACTCCTTGTCTGTCTGCTCAATGCTTCTGTCGCACCCCCACCAGGATTTAGGCTTTCACAATCTCTGTTCATAAGAGACGGGTGGTAGAGAAGCCTTGCACGCTTTCTTTGCTGGACAACGAGTCAAACCTAGTACTCAATCATCATTCGTCCACGATGGAAGCAACCGTCACGCACTGAAACCTTTGGCTCCGTCGCCCACATTCCGTCGCCACTGCCACCGTCTTCGCATCTGCCCCGTTTTGCGGATGGAACATACAAAAGTTGTCAACCCGGAGCGGCAGTTAGACACGGGCCGTTTGCACACAAGCTCGGCTTCCGAGCTTTTCCCTGCTCGTGGTACACTGTGGTACGCTCTTGCGAGTCCGCAAGAGTCTAGACGCTGGCCCTAGACCGCCGCCCAAGGCTGATCAACGGTGATGCCTCAGGGGCTATGACGTCGATCGTCTGAAAATAGCAACTGCCGGTCCCGTTTCATCTGGTGCGCACCACCCACGAGGACGCACCAGTCAACATGCCCTGATCGACGACTTTGGCTTGCGGGCATGGCTGTGTTGCTTGGTGCTCGATATGAATCCAGCAGAGCTGAGCATGGCAAGCACGGGAAAACAGAAAACGGACGGCGAGAGGGGGAAAAGTTTCCTTTGCGTTAGCCCCACGCCTTTCATTCTGCCCGTAGCACAGTTATTCTCTCGTGTTGATCATGTTGGAGAGGGTCCGGCAAGTTCCTTTTTACAACGTCCGTTGCTCACTCAGCGCACTCCTCGTGTCGCACGGCACAAGGTATTATTCCCGCCTAAAGCCCTGCTCCTCGAACCTCTGGCACGAACAACAGTACCTATGACAGCGCTGTATCAGGCCGACGAGGAATGCTGGTGTGATTCCCGTGCCGGTCATCCTCGAGAGGGTCGCACAACACACCAGACGTCGGACTCACAGCACCGGCGTCGCGGGACTCAGGTCGGGGTTCGGGTGGCCGTCTTGCCCGTTCAGTGCGAAGCTTCCCAAGTCTCCAAGCCGCTAGGCATATGGTGTTCTCCATGGCGGATCCTCAAAACAGGTTTTCGTGGCTGTCAGTCTGGTCGGGACCTTCGGCGTTCAGCCACATGATGTGCCACAGTTGCTTCACCAGCCACATGAACCAATGACACTTGTGGCGGTGCTGTCCTTGGCCGCCACTTTGACTGGGGATGTGACCCAAGATCAACAAGGACGTCTTGTTGAGTGTGTCTTGTCTTCTGCACATCAATGACCTGCCAATCACACGTTCCATCATCACTCTTGTTTGTTTATTTTGCGAGATGCATCTCATGTACAGTTTTCAACACACGCTTGAGGTCTGTCTATCAGCGTCAACTTGACGTCGGACGAATGCTTGGTCCAAGGATCTCAAACACGGACGACCAGAGAAGAACCCTGCATAGAATTTGGGATCGCATTCGGGGAGGCGGACATGTGTATCTGAACCAGCTCCTACAACGAGCAAGACATGCAGTCTGGGAGATGTCAGAAGGAATACCGATCGGCTGTCCTGCATGCAAGAAGTCGCTGATCTCAGGGGCCAGCAAGGCGAGCAAATTGAAGAAAGCATGCAGTCTTTAGGGGGGGGCAAAGTCAATGGGATGCGGTTTTGGGCCCTTCAGCAGGCTCTCTCCAGCATGTTTTACACTTCTGCGCGCAGAGCCGCTCAACCATCACCAATCCGAGTCACTTTCTGTCCGGTCCGTCTGCCGCCCGGCAATTTTATTTTCTTCGATGCGGCACACTGCCCCTGGCCGTCTCCTGCACCAGCAAGTGGCAATCTCGGGACCGCGCTATTGAAACTCTGGCAGACGTCAGATGACTGCCTTTGTCTCCCCAAGCCGCGAGCCGCACCTTCCTCGAACGCCCTTCTCGAGCACTTCCAGCGCCCTGAGATGTTGTGTTTCAAGCCTGCCGACCCCACGGGGGCTTCGTCGCGACCACCTGGGGTATCGATAAGCCCAAGACATCCTGTGAACAGACCCCGCCAAAGGCCCGAGAGATGTCTGGAATACCACCTCTGTCTTGCCTCACTCTTTCACGCTCTCTGAGAAGATCCGACGGGCTCTCTTGCGGTCAGGACCTACACATGCATGATGCCGGTCTGCTGTGGTTGAAGTTGAGGTCGAGGTGTGTCGCTAGGGCAGCTCGACAACCTGGCGTCCGTCCAGTCCATCAACTTGGTGTGCGTCCAGGGTCTCGAATAGCCTCTCTCTTCGATGTAATACAGAAGAGGGTCCCTCCCGTCTCCGCGCTTGGAGCCGTTTGCTCGGGTCCATCTCCCTTGCACCTGCGATGGTTTCTGATCACCGACAACGAGTCAGACGCTTGAGTGGTTCAAGAAGCTGTCGAGCCGTGGCTTTAGAGAAAACCATGCCCGTGGGAGACGGGCTCCTTGAACGTCCAGGTGTCATGTCGTTCCTGGACGCAAGAAGCAGGGCACACACACAAGCTGGTGGGGGCGAAGCCCGTCGCTCTTCAAAGCTTCTTCGCACTCTTTCGAGATGCAGGTCCAGGCAGGCGGGATCCCCGCAACGGTCTCCACCCATTGTGAGGGAAAAAATCCAGAGCCGTAGCATGATAAACTTCCTCATCAACATCCGAACTGGTGTAATGGCTAACATTTGACGCTCTCACCGTCAGGCTCAGGGTTCGATTCCCTGGTTCGGAATGAGACGCTTCGGCGATATGCTTTTGCCCCTGCGGCGAACTAGTTTTAAGTCCAGGTACCTAGAATGCAAAGATGTTCCGATCGTGACTTTCTGTGTGCATGCAGTACATGCATATGCCGGGCTTGGTAAGAGGTTCATGGCACCTGCACAGTTGATGGGTTGTGAGCCACGTTGCCAGCATGGACAGGGTCGAGAACAGACTTCCGCATACGCTGGACATGGCTATGAATGTATATCGCCATGTCGGTTTCACGCGTGCACGAGGCGCTTCACTGACCGGGACATTCAGCATTCAAGTACTGTAGGATCGCCTCATGCCGTGCCTGGGACTATTGTCCTCGCCAGATGACTTGCAGGAGCATGGCTGCCCTTGCATGGATTTTTGCACCCTGCCAGGCCTGTCAGGTCCATCAAGCATACAAATAGATGACAGGCTCCAAGGGCAACTATAATGAAATAAACTCCACGGCATCTTTCACGTGGCACGACCCTGTTGTCACCGCCAATGCCCGGACCATCGTATATGTGTTGAGCTATATGCGGAGGCAGGGCAGCATGCCGTCGACCCATGCGGGATCAAACGCATTTATTCTATCGGAAAGCTTCACTCTAGGCTGCTACTCTCTGAGCTGGACGGCATTTGAAAACGGTAACGAGTCGAATGAGGACAGGAGGGGGTTGGCCATGGTACGCCGTGAATCCATTCAAGCCCCTGGCCGAACTCTCATGTGAGCATGATGGACGATGCACGACATTCTCGTTGGTCAATACTCGTGTCGCAATTGTGAGTTCCAGAACTTCCACTGCCATGTTGCGAGCCAGGCATAGTACGAACCTGATATACCTCAGCAGGCCCTACGTAGCTGACAGTTCGGCATCATCTGGAGAGCCGATCCCAGTCACTGTCACAATGCATACGATGCCCCCTGCTCACTTCTTATTCTTTTCCCACCACTCAAAAGTCTGAGAAACTCGCAGTTCAAGATGAGATGAAAGTCTAAAAACATTCCGACCGAACCCTCAAGGCCGAAGAGCCCCATGTAACCTCGCAACCGTTACCTAGTAACCCCTCTCTCTATCCACCAAATTTACCAGCTCCCCGCCACTCAGTAGCCTCTCGAGGTTCAGCTCCACCACGCCCAGGACCCTCTCGGTGTAGTTGCCGACGATGGAGCTAATGTGCGGCGTGATGATGACATTGGGCGCCTTCCAAAGCGGGTGATCGGCCGGCAGCGGCTCCGGATCCGTCACGTCGAGCGCCGCGCCGCGCAGCTTGCCCGACTCGAGGGCAGCGACGAGGGCATCCTGATCGAGGATGGCGCCGCGCGAAATATTGCTCACAAAAGCCTTGCGACTCGCGAGTATCTCAAATTCCTCAGCAGAGAAGAGGTGTCTCGTCTGGTCACTGTTCACGAGGTCAGCGGTCAGGCCCCATGGACCGGGTGAAGGAGGTTCACGGGTGAGGACTGTTATACGCACGTCAAGGGCAGGGCGATGACAATGATATCAAGGTCCTGCTTCAGGAAGTCGTGCAACGAGGGCCTGTCAAGGCCATGGTACCACGCGGAGGGGTACTCTCCATCAGGATCGCCGGTGCCGGGGACAATGTAACCTCTGTCCTTTCTCTTCTCGGGGGTATCTTTGGGCGTCGCCGTGAAAGCAACGACATCCATGCCCAGAGCTTTGGCGATGCGGCCGACTGTTCATCGTCAGCCAGCCTCTGGCAGAAGTTTCTACGGTGAATATTACTGACCTTGCCGCCCAATGGCGCCGTAGCCGAGGATGCCGATACGTTGGCCAACAACGTCGCGAACGGACCAAAAGTCCTTGATGCTGCCCCATGTTGACTCCCGTTGCAGTTCGTTGAGGTAATTATACTTGTGGTTGTGCACCAGGGCCGTCATGACGACCCATTCAGCAATGGGCGGGCCAGCAATGCCCCGCGAGTTGGTCAACGGAATGGTAGAATCAGTCAGGATGGGATGGCCCGCGATATGGTTTGTGCCAGACCCGGCAAAGTGTATGAACTTGAGGTTGGGAGCATCTGCGGCTGTAGGAGGCAGGGCAGAGAGGGTGATAAGGGCTGTCTTGTCGGCGAAGATGGCTACCGCCATGTTAGATGAGGATCGCAAATGGCGTCAGTCCAACAAACTATCGAGGCAGCTCACATTTGTCAAGTTCACCAGGACCCCACCCCGCCTTGTCGGGACCGGCTGTCGTGATCCAGGTTGTTTCGATCTGAGGGAACTTCTGCTTCAGCCGAGCCAAGGCCTCCTTCGGCTCAGGCACGGGCAGCGCGAAAAGGACACGCTCAATGGAAGGCACACTCATGATGGTCTATCTTGAAAATGTCTATGAGGTCTTGGTATCTGAGAGAGAAGCGCGAGAGAACATGCCGAGTCGACGTGTTGTACATATGCATGTCCAACGCCGGGCGATATTGCTTGATCAGCAAGTATGCCGTGCCGCGGGGTCGGGATGACGTGAGGTCAGAAATCCTCCGAGGCCTAATAACCCCGCACATCGTAAGCCCAAGGCGCAGAACACAACTATCGCCCTACGAAAAATAATCAATTCTGAAATTGGAACAGGCCGCCCGGCGTCATGATGCCGACAGCATCCCGTCGGCCGGCACAGTCGTGGCCATGTACAAGCCGGGCCTCGGGATCCCGAGTCCGATGCATCCCTGCAGGTTAGTCGTCCCTGACCCGTCTCTTTTCGGGCGTCTGCCGAACAACAACAAACAGGCCAACACACGCATCTGTCAATTAAACATGTGCGAGTGCCACAGCAGCCATCGCGAACTCAATCGTAGGATCGAGTCACACGACCAGAACCCTGACCTCGGCGACTGGGTTAGGTCAACTTTTCCTTCTTTGTTCAAGAAAAGAAGACATCGCAAACTGCAATCGAGAAAGATAATGGCCATCCGAACAGGTGGGTTTCACTGCATCGACAAGGCAATTCCGACAGAGTCCCAGATGAACATGACCCTGATGTCTTGCAAAGAAAAGTCTCACGGAGAGATCTACCCGTCCGAGCTGGTTGCACTGCAGATCTGTCGTCCGACATGGGAAAAACCAAGGAGCAGACCGTCGATGAACAGGCTGTCGATGAGCAGGCGATTTCTCGATCGCAACGAAGAAACAGAAAGAGGGGACCCGCGACTATATGTAGAGAACAATGCCAGCCCCCAGTCAGATCCTATTCTCACCAAGACATGTCTCTGCTGACGCTGGCCTCGTAGCGGGGAATCTTCTCCGTGCCTTGCCCCAAGCTCGAGACAAGAGGGACGTCATGTCCTGTCATGGAGCGGCCTGTGTCTTGTACGACCTTGACTGTCTCGCCTGTCTTGCAGCTGCTCGCGTGGTCCCCTCAGGGGTTGAGCCCAGCCGTGGCTATTTGCTTCTCTCGCCCTGTTTGCCGGACTGCTGAACCTGTCTTTGATTTGCTCGTTGAGCCCCCACCCCAGGCCGTCTACCCAGGAGGGTGTGTCGACAGTTGAGCTACCAAGAACACCAATGCAGGTCAGAGACAGGGTGCTCAGGGCGAGACACTAGATCGCCAGGTTAGCGTCCCGGGGCAAGTGTCCAGGGGGTGTGGGCAAACTCGATGGATTGAAGACCGAATTTGAAAACTTTCCCCATATGACCGAAATGAACATGGGACACGGCCACCCCTTAGAATTGACGATCGGTCTGTTCCCCTGTAACCCGGCGAAGCCGATCGCGTTCATGACCCCAGAATGATCGCACAGCCAGCTGAAGATTCGCAGACCCGCTATTGGATGCGAAGTGGGCGCCTGGCGTTCAGCTGAAGTCGGTTGCGCAAAGAGCGCAGGCTTTGCTTTTTCCCGCTTTGATTGTTTAGGCGGTCGCTTCGCCTCGCCTGGCAGCACTGATCTGTCAAGGAAGTCACAGTGATTCGACTGGGCAATTTGTTGGCCGCCACCGTTGTTGTTTTGCACCATGTCAGAGGCCTCTCCTGACACATTGCAGCTCCAAATGGGAGAAGGAGGACGGCTTTACCCGACGGGTGCCCGTTTCATCGGACCACAGGAGAAAAAAAAAACAAATGATGTAGTCTGGGGCTACCGTCAACTGTCGGACGCGGTCCAAGTCATGGGATGAAACCTTCATCTCCAGTATCGTGACGACCGATAGTGAGCCATGCTCTGCTGCGTCACCACCTCTAGCTTTCCCGACCAGAACAGATGGGGCTCTGCAGCAGCCCCCTTGTCTGTGCTGGCCCTGTCTCTTGCCGTCTCGTACGCAGCTCGTGTCTTGAGGCGGTGGGCTTTGAGTGCTGTAATGACGTCGTGCATATTGTGTACCTCGGCCTTGCTTGGCGTACGAGCAGC